ACAGTTGATAAACTAGGTTTGTCCATTGTAAACTATAGTTTACGAATTGTAAACTATAGTTAACGATTCGATAACCATTCTAAACTATACTTAACGATCGTAAACTATAGTTTTGAGAGATAAACTATGATTCACATTTGCCAATCATAGTTTATCGTCATAAAGTATAATTCACTCTCGTAATCTATAGTTAAGAGTTGTTGAATAAAGTTTATGAATCTAAACACCTGTTAACTGTTAATGATAGTTTTCATTCAAAATCTCGCGGCACCATTCGCTAGAGGAAAAATACTGAATGTGTATCATTGCCGTAAGTTCTATATAAAAAAGAAACATATAAACATAATTACTTAAGTATTTTCTCTTCTTGATAATCTTAAATTTATGTCAAGCTTTCAACAACTCTTTTGATACCAGCAATGCTCAGTCATTTTTGTTTGATCAGCGCCAGAGTTTGGAAAGACGGCAACGATAAATGTCAGTGATTTATTCCGTTGCTGATGAAGAAAAAATTGATTACAAACCGTCAAAATGCATTTTTAAAACATACATTTTAATCAATAATTTTCCTGTCATTTTCTTTTTATTTCCCAATAGATTTGCTTGAAAATGAAAGAAAATTTACTTTTAATGTCATCAAGTAATATATATACTGAGTATTTAACAACCAATGAAAATAGTCGTTGTATAGCTAAGTCTTATCATACTACAATTAACTTATCTATAACTTACAGACAAAACTATTGTTAACTATAGTTTTGATCGTAAACTATACTTTAATTAGAGTCGTGAAATATAGTTTTACAGCATGTATAACGAAAAGTGGACAATGCTAAAAACAAAAACAAAACCAATAATGTTTTCTTTACGCACTGATACCTTTTCACTTCGACATTTTAATCTTTAAATCTCATTCTACATTTTTTTAATACATAACGTACAAAGTACAGTTTAATGACAAAGAGAAGATGAAATCTTATAGGAAGACCATTAATTTTGCTACATTGTTTCTTTGATTAAAAATGTTTTTGGAAAGCATCTGACAATGTCTCAACAGAAGGAATTTTTGTTCACTTTTTTTTTTTCGTACGTGAACAATGAAATCTCAAAAGACGATAATTATGACAACGATCCGAAACAGTTCTCTTCGATGGCGAACCAAAAAAAAATTCTTCAAAAGATCGAAGCTAACAGTCTAGAAATATTTGAAGGAACTGAAATTGCTTTCCATTTTCGTAATGTTTCATGAATACTACATTAGCTGTGGTGGTTACATAAGTTAGAATGATGACACTATTCCTGCTGAGCGACAATTACATAGACAGTATAACACCACTAGTGTAATGTTATTTTTCATTTCTTTGAAATAATTGTGACAATTATTACATCCAGAGGTGCGATGATCGCAAGGGAAATCTGATGAAAGCATAAATTAACATTTGCTATCGTCATATTGTTTACAATTTTTCCTTATCAATGATCACTTTGCAAAACCTGTGTAAAAAGAGGTAACAAATAGCATCTACTCTAGACGTTGGAGAGAATGCATTTGGTATATCGAGAAGACAGCTAGCTTAGAAATCACGTCTACTATTTAGCCATTAGAGAACAAATTTCAAACTTTTTGGTTATTAAACGTGAGTCTTCTCACATAAACAACTCGTAAAATTTACGCGTTACAAGGAGGTTGTGAAATAAAAAAATGAGCATAAGGAGACGTTACCAAAAATGTCTTTTTATCTAAAAAATTTTATTTACAAGAAAGTATAGGAAATAATGCACTCATTATTAATTCATAAATGGTACTCATCCATGAAAATATCATTACTTTATCTACATCAGGAAAATGCGTGCATATAATGATTTCATTACTTTATTTTGGTCAAACATAATGTTAGAAATACTTCACTTGTTTCATATTGCGTCATTTACTGTAGATTTCCGTGTATTTTATTTCAAAGGGCAGAACTACATTAAACTTATCAAATTAGAACCTCTCAGTTAACAGTGTCTAGAATTTCTTTAAGAAGAAATCAGTCAATTTTTTTATATAGACTGAAATTTATGTGGTACGGTTACCGATTCACTTTAGAATTAGATCGTTCCAGCAAAATGTTTTGGGACAACAGCGAAGCGCAACTAGGTCCTTCTTGACGCCTGTTTCTGGTTTTCATTTTCCATAATTTTATACGAGTTTTTCTTGGTATTCAAGAAACTGGAATGGGTACAAAAAGATATTAGAAATAATGATTAAATAATTTCATAGTATTTACCGCCGACACGTCGGTTAATCGTGTCTTTTCGTATTCCTTCAAGACATTTAGGTATTAAACTATTACCATTAGAATTCGTAAATGGAAACCGTTCTTAAACCATCTCCCAAGTTAAGACAAAATCGATTCAAGGTATCCTAGGAAGGTTAACTGTCGATTTTCGACTTTCGACATTGAAAGGTCGAATCCAAAAATATTACCTCCATTAATTTGTATTACGTTTTCATGATAGATAACAAGGATTAGTGTAACATGTGACAAGTGTGGAGTGTCAACTCACCGACTTAACGGAAATCAATATACATCAAGGAATTACGTAAATAAACAAAAACAAACAAACAAAACAAAGAGACACTATAGTTTTACATTTTGGATGTTTACAGGAACAGTACAATCTTTTGGGATTTTAATTGATAGACCCTTTGCAACATTGTTATCATCTGTGTACAACAGTTATTTCTGTTCACCAATACTTCATTGTCCTTAAAAGAAATATGGCAGTTACTACAATGAAAATGAACTATTAGAGATAAACTCAACATCATAGAACTAGATAAACTCAATATGTACATCTTTATGTGATAAATGTCTTTAAAAATCCCCAAAACATTTTTCATTAGTGTTCGAACTTCCTTAAAGAAAAGAAAGTAACACAATTATGAACAATTCCGTCACGTGACTGTTAGGGACAAAAAGTGTTGTGGCTAATTGTGTTGAATCTCATTTTATTATACACATAGAAACGTTTCTATATAGTGTGGCAATCAAACGAAGAATGAACAAAGGGAATATGAAATGAGATAGCTAATCGAGTGACCTTATCTCTAGATCCAATGACTGATCGAATAAGCTTAATTTTAGGTTGCCATAAAACCGTACAGCAATCATCTCTCGCAACTTCAGAAATATACCATATTGAATTAGCGCTGGACTCCATTCATCTGAATCTAATGGCATTGTAATTAATATATTTTCTTTTAATACCAAATAGAAATGTCTACGTATACAAATGAAAAATAAGATGAGATTAACATTTGCAACATGAAATTGTATAAAATACCAGCTATTGATTCGGTGCTAATATACAATGTTATGCATATACTGGTGCAAATCCAAAGCTACATATGAAGAAAACGAATATAGGCATTCAATTTGTAGTCATATTGAATCTTTCATAAAGCTTCAAGCATATAAATTTGAGTAAATTAAAAGTTGATTTTGGATTGGAAATGACAGCTTTAAACAGATAGGAAATAGAAAAGGTGTCAATAGATAGGGTTTATAAGGGGTATTAAAAGATACTCTGTAGGCAGGGAGTCAATACATAGGGTATAGACAGGGGGTCGTTAGATACAGTACAGACAGGTGTCAACAGATAGAGTACAGGTAGGGTGTCAAAATATAGGGTACAAGACTTGGTATCAATAGATAGGGTATAGACAGGGAGTCAATAAAAGGGGTACAGAAAAAGTGATAACAGATAGGATACAGACAGGGTGTCTATAGATAGGGTACAGGGTGTCAATAGATAGGGTACAGTGTTTCAATAGATTGGGTATAGACAGGATGTCAATAGATAGGTTAGGGGCAGGGTGTCAATACATAGCATAGGACTTGGTGTCAATAGATCGGGTATAGACACGGTGTCAACAAATAGGGTACAAACAAGTCACTAGACAGTGTACAGACAGGGTGTCATTAGATATGGTATAGACAAGATGGCAATAGATAGGGTTAGACAAAGTTTCAACAGATAGGGTACAGACAGGATGTCAATATATAGGTTACAGGTAGGGTGTCTTGGTATCAATAGATCGGGTATAGACACGGTGTCAACAAATAGGGTACAAACAAGTCACTAGACAGTGTACAGACAGGGTGTCATTAGATATGGTATAGACAAGATGGCAATAGATAGGGTTAGACAATGTTTCAACAGATATGGTACAGACAGGATGTCAATATATAGGTTACAGGCAGGGTGTCAATACATTGGTACAGACTTGGTGTCAATAGATCGGGTATAGACACGGTGTCAACAAATAGGGTACAAACAAGTCACTAGACAGTGTACAGACAGGGTGTCATTAGATATGGTATAGACAAGATGGCAATAGATAGGGTTAGACAATGTATCAACAGATAGGGTACAGACAGGATATCAATATATAGGTTACAGGTAGGGTGTCAATACATAGGGTACAGACTTGGTGTCAATAGATCGGGTATAGACACGGTGCCTATAGAAGGATAAAGACTTGGTGTTAATAGATAGGGTACAGGCACAGTCCCAGTGGACAGGATATAGACAGGATGTCAATAGATAGGGTACAGACAGAGTGTCAATAGATAGGGTACAGGCTGTCAATAGATAGAGTACAAGTACCGTGCCAGTAGACAGGGTACAGACTGGATGTCAATAGATAGGGTACAGAGAGGGTGTCAATAGATAGGGTACAAACAGGTTGTCAAAAGATAGGGTACAGGCACAGGGTACAGGCAAAGTGCGAGTAGACAGGGTGTAGACACGGTGTCGATAGAGTACAAGCAGGCTGACAAAAGCTAGATGAGTATAGAATTATTTCCCTTTGTATGTTGACACATTTGGAATAGCACCTCTAGGTAAAGAGCATTTTCTTTTTGCAACATATATTTAATCTTTTACTGTAGGTTAATAAAAAACAAATACTGAATTTTTTTCAAATCAACACAGTTATATACACTTACATTACCGTGTATGTTTTCCTGGGATCCATTGATTTCCCTTGTGTTCAGTTCTATCATTTCTTCTTTTAGTTCTTTGTTGAGATTCATCCCATATTCTTCTTAGTATATATAACGTTGTATAAATAAAATTAAAACTTCATTTCATGCCGTCCACTTAATAAAATACTCATTTAAATTGTGAATAATAATTTTTTAAAATCAAATTAAAATACATTACGTTATAAATTATTAAGCAAAAGAAGACGTTAAAGAATTTTCTATAAATAGGCCTAGTTACCATTTAAGCTGTTCTCTCGTTCTTGTGCAAGGTACTCCTGTTTCGCATTTTTGATGACGTCACTTATGAAGTTATCAATCTGTTCTGCAATTAGCTCCTCCTTTGTGGGTGCATCCCACGATAGCTTAAGTTTGGCTTTGTTTTTTCGGCGTTTTGGTTTTGGGGAAGTCAGACTATTAAATGACATCGCTGAAAGTATAAATAAAATGTCTATTTCATAAAGGCTGAAAACCACAAGCTGCGCACGATGAAACTTCCAATATTAAAATCGATTTTCTTTTAAATATCAAAGAAAAATCTCAAGTGAAGACAAAAAGGCTTTTATTTGAATAAGAAGTATTTTTGTAATAACATAAAAAAGCAAATGTATTAAATCATCCACTCGATAGAAATGAAAATTAGATCATTTCATCAAGTAATATATACTGGAAAAAATAGCTAGGCGATACAAAGACATCAGAGCAGCCATGTTATAATTTTGATCACTCCAAGAATTGAAAAGAACAGACACACACTCATTTTTTTGCCAGATTAGACTTATTTTGAAATGTTTCTGAAATTAGGATTTACAGAGGTCAGGGAGCCTTTTAGATGTGATGAACTAAAAAAGTACAAGGGTATCATTCAGTATTGTAGCAACCAATGCCTATTTTGTTTAAACCAGTTCCCTCAGGGATAAAAAATTGTATATAAAATATATAAATAAGTATTTCATAAGAGTTGTAGATCATTCCCAAAGAATGCATGGAGGTAAACGCTGACAATTTACTAAAAGCCATCGAGTACATGACAAATTATCTTTGACAGTTGATTTTTTTTTTAATTAGTAGCGATACCCCTTTTACTTGATTGTTTGACACAATGAATCAAGAGCGCATAAATATCTTTCCCGTTCATTTGAATTGATCAAGAGGCCACATTAGAAGTAATGATTGCTATATTCAAGTCAAAGTGTTTTCAATAGTCTTTATTTGTATGCCTTTGTTTGGCTGATTAACTCAAACGTCTACAACACTAAGTATCGATTTCTCAAAGGACCAAAACACTTATTAATGAGGTATATGCTATAAGTTAGAGGTTCCTCATGCTCTGTGTATCCGTGATAACCTTCTCAGACTGAACATTAATATTGCATTCGATATGGATTTTCTGTCCCACAAACAAATACAGCGTAAAAAGTGATTACATGAAAGCGACATAATTTTCAGAAACACACTTCATGCAGTGACGTTTATAGCTCTGTAATACTGCGTAGGTATTATCAAGCAGGAAGCAGCAATAAATACAGTTTTGAGACGACCTATGAAGAATTACTGGGGGGGGGGGGGGGGCACACACTGTTGGGAAATTAAGAGTTGAGAAACTTTTGCACCTTTGATAATATACCCATAATAATACTTGTACCTAGTTGCCTCCATCATCACACCTCTTGGATCCAAAAGACTCCCGCCTACTTTGCCATAAAATCAAAATATGTCACTGTAAACGGTATTTTATATATATATATTAAATGGGACAATTAAGAAAAATACCATCGATGTCTGCAACTTTCAAAGTTGCCACGGAAAAACAGAGCAACCGAAAACCGATAGGGATAAAAATAAGATGATTATTGAGGCATTTAACGGCAAAGTTGATGATTCAGAGCTCTTATGTGAAATAAATCTCCTAGGAACATTAATATTATAAGATGCCCATGGGCCTCGAGGCTCACCTGAGTCACCTTGGCCCCGCTAAAGATTTTTTTCTGCTCTTCATTCCAGTAAAAAAAAAAAAAGACCCCATATTATGACTCCAAAATACCCTCAAGAGGTTATGATAAAGTTGAATCCACACACCGGAATGCTTCAATTTCAATATGATAAACATGGCTCTGATGTATGATCAAAATAAAGCCCCACCCTAACCCCAGGACCCCTATCACAGGGGGTCATGAATTTCACGTTTTGGAAGAATAACTCCTTCTCATCATAACATTGCTCTTAGTTTCTCTGCTAAATACTCAAGAGTAGAGATTGACTGATTGATTGTATGTTTTGTTTTTACGTCCCGTTCGAGAATTTTTCGCTCTTATAGAGACGTCAAGAGCAGAGAAGCACATTCATTTGTCAAAGAATAATGCATTTTCAATATATGATCAATCGAGCCCCGCCCTAACTCCGGAATCCCTGAATTTCAAAATTTTGAAAGGTCAAGAAGCCCTTGCTCATAATAACCATGCATCAAGTTTCTAAGCTAAATATTCGAGAGCAGAGAACATTTTCTTAAAGAATTAATGCATAATCCCTACATGTATATGATAAATGGAGCCTCACCTTAACTCCAGAACTCCTGCCCCAAAGGGGCAAATTTCACAATTTTAGAAGAGGCACTCTTCCTCATTATAACCATGTATAGTTTGTCTACTAAATACTCGAGAGGATAGAGGATTTTCAAAGAATTAATGTATTTTCACTGTATATTCTATAGAGCCCGACTCTAACCTCAGAAACCTCTGATCCAGGGGCCATGAATTTCACAATTTTGGAAGAGGTGTCTTTGCTAATCATATCTTTGCACTTAGTTTGCTTGTTAAATATACAGGTTGAGAGAAGATTTTTGAAGAATTGATGAATTTTCACTATATTATCTATAGTCCCCTGCCCTAACACCAGAACCCCTGGTCATGAATTTCATAATTTTTGTGGAGGGCTAAATTCTTATTACAATCATGCCCACAGTTTGACGACTTGATGTCCAGGAGTAAAGAAAAAGATTTTTAAAAATTTCATTAATTATGGTGGTTTTAGCCCCACCTCTCAGGCCCCAGATGGACAGGGGCCATGGAATTCACAATTTTGTTTTTCATCACCTGTGGATGCTATATGCCAAAATTGGTTAAAACTGGTTGTTCAAATGTTAATGCACGACGACGAATGAAAACAGACACCAATAGGTTTGGTCACAAATTTAAGCCCCACCCAGGGTCAAGAATTAAAGAAAGGTCTATTCAACTTAGGTATGTTTCCATATCAAAATGATTGTGTGGTTTTGCTACTCTTGAAAAGATTTTTTTTTCAAATTCCCTTTAAAACTTTGCTACCTATCGTTGCCCCACCCTAACCTGGGGGCCTTGATGTGATAAAATATTAATGTACAATATTTGACAAAGATTCCATAAAAATATAACTAATCATGTCCCTGCTGTTATGGAGAACAAGACTTAATTTTTTCTATATATTCATATGTTAACCTTTGATCCCCTATTGCCGACTCATCCCCCCCCCCCCCCCCGAGGGAACCATGATTTGTTCAAAATCAAATGTACACTATCTGAGGATGCTTCCATTTCAAGGATTTATTATGGTCCTGCTGTTCTTAATAAAAAAATTTTGAAAAAATTACATATATTCCCATGTAAAACTTTGATTCCCTATTGTGGCCAAAATCTAGCCCTGGGGCCATGATTCGAAGAAATTTGAATTTAAACTACCTCAGGATTTTTCCATATTAATATGACTCATCATGACCCTGCAGTTCTTAAGAAGAAGATTTCTAAAGATGTTTCCTATATATTCCTTTGTAAAACTTTGATCCCTGTTGACGCCCAATCCTACCCCGGGTACCATTATTTGAACAAACTGGAATCTACACTACATATGTCTGAGGATGTTTCCATATTGATATGGCTTATCCTGTCCCTGATGTCCTCAAGAAGAAAATTTTTGAAGATTTTTTCCTATTTATAAATTTCCATGTAAAACTTTGATCCCATATTGAAGCCCCAACCTACATGTATCTGCGTTGTTCAGTTGAACAAACTTGAGTCTACACTATGTAAAGAACCTGTCATATAAGTTTCATAATATTTACACAATGGTTCTCGAAAAGAAGACTTTAAAATGATGCAACAAAATTTGTACTAATTCTTAATTATCTCCCTTGAAAAAGGGCGTGCCTTTTCATTTGAACAAAGTTGAATTCCATGTACCCGTGTATGCTTTGTGTCAAGTTTGTAGAAATTTACACCGTGGTTCTGGAGAAGTCGAGAGTGTAAAAAGTTTACAGACGACAGACATCAGATGACATACACGTAGACGCCGAACACTCTTCGATCAGAAAAGCTCACTTGAGCCTTTGACTCAGGTGAGCTAAAAGGTTAATGCATTTTCAATAAACGCTGTTTACATAGAACGTTAGTAGGAAAGACTGCAATATTAATCATTTTTCTCAGTATTTTTCAGTTTCATAGTCAGTAAAAGAACCAATGTATACATGTAAGTAATGAACGTAATTATGATAGATGTTCAGTTTAACATGTATTCTGAGTTTACCTAGGCTGCTGACACCTCACTGAACCCAGTGATCACTGATCAGTATTATAATGTCACTAATACGCCAACGACACATTATGAAAATAGAATATTCTCAAATAAGGGCTATTGATACATGTACGTGTATTCCTTATCTATATTCACTGAATATGCATCATGTTTGCACAAATTCGCTACAAAATTGTTTTGCAGAAAAATAAATCAAGTTTCTCTATTAAATATTAAAATCATTTTCAAGTCGCCCGTAAATTAAAGAAAATTCCAAATAGATGCTGTCATCTGAATACATGTATCTGGATAGCCATGTTTATTTAATTACGAAAGACAGAAACCCCACCTTAATTTAATTAAGTGAAATAGAAACCTCACCTTATCTTTGCTCGGCGACAATCCTTTACAGAATAAATTCCTGTTATTAAAGCAGGAAAATTTCTTGAACCTGGACTTGTGTGCGAGTATTCGATATATAATTAATAACCAATCGATCAGTGTTAATGCAGGAGGACTGTTAAAATTGGTAAAAGCATCAAAACGACAGTAACCGACACTTATCTATCTGTAATGTTACGTAGCGATTGTCAATTAGAAGTTCGGTCCACCATTGTGGTCCTCTTAAGAACAGCTTCAATTTGCCGCTTCAGTACACCGATATCGAGAAAATATGTATTTTTGAAACTTCCCTCTGCAAGAAAATCAGGCAAATGGTCTTTAAAAAGTTGTCAGAGCGATTGTGTGGATTTACTGTATTGATTAGTCTTTTCTGATGACATGTTTTCGCGGAGGAAATTTACGAACAGTCGTGGTTTCGGTTGTTAGTAATCCCATTTGATGCGATAGTTAATGAAGATGTACTATCAGCAATCAGATGTACCGCAGTAAATTAACATTCTCAATACTCTCTGTTATCTCGTTAATCTTCTGATTTGAGGTTTCAGATACTGATACCTTCATGCAAAATAGGAGCAGTTGCTTATTTCATGCTTGATTAGAGTATCAGGTTTTAAATTTTGAATTTTCTGGGTGATGGTAAGTTCAAAATTTACTTATGTTCTAAATTTGTCATTTACTTCCACCCAATAAATTCAAAGTTTGCAACATAATAATATCTTGGTCTGAAACCTTTCAAATCTACAATCAAAAATCCACAGGAAAACTTGATTGAAACTCTCAATTCTAAACTGATCGAACTCTCTTCTACGTATGGGTCATAAAAAAAATGCAATTGTTGACTAGCATACAAATCATGTTGTCATCTTCTTAAGAAAAGATAGAAAAGAAAAGTTTCAATAAAAAAAAAAGAAAAATGTTCGTTACTTCATGAAAAAATGTTCCTTACTTTATGAAAATTTTTCATTAACAATGAAAAGTTGAATTATTTGTATGCAACAAACATTTTTGTAGTAATCTATCACACGCCAAAGTCACAAAAAATGAGCTAAGCATAGTTTTACTGTTGATAAACCAGACATCATTGGTAAACAATAGTTTAGGAAGCGTATTTAACTACTGGTTAGTTAGTTAACTATGTGTTAACTATAGTTTCCATATGTAACATATTAACGGTTGAACACTATAGTTCACGAATAGCTACGACAAGTTTATCTTATAATTACTAGTAACTATAATTAACATTCGTTAATCATTGGCAGAAGTTGTTCATCATAGTTTCACTAACCGTGAAACTACATTTATCAGATCAACTATGTTTTACGATAATTTTTGTAAATTGTAGTTTTCCTTCGAAAACTATAGTTCAGAGCAATCTATGCTCATAAATAACAATTTAGTATACTGTAGTTTAGAGAGAAACAATAGTTAAAATTTGTTAATCATAGTTTATCGCTATAAACTATATAATTCACACTCGTAAAGTATAGTTTATAGTTTACAGTTGTTAAATATATAGTTTATGAAACTAAATATCTGTTCACGATGTTTTTTAATGAAAATCTTGAGGAACCAATCGATGATTTACGAACAAAACCTTTGCTGACAATGTTGATGACTCTAGTTTACTAACTGTAAAACCATGCTTGGCTCATTTTTGTCAATTAAGCGTGTCATAGTAATCACTAGCCTAGTTTTACTCCATACAAGAAACCACAGGAACTTGTTTCCGAATAAAAGGTTGCCCCATAGTATAATGACACAAGGTATCTACTCCAATTTGTAGAGAACGACCCTCTCGAGAATTATATTCATTTTCGTTTTAAGGAGAAAGTGTTTGCTCCTATGCTGTTCTAGGATAATTTATCTACAAAATCGCGTATGACACGCTTAATTGCCTTTTGCTCTAAATATAGCGAAAATGGCTGCATTTCTCGTGAGGGTCGTACTCTATGTAATTTGTGTTAGATACATTGCATTATATTATGAGCTACCTTTTATTACAGAGACAAGTGTCTGTGGCATGATGGCTGAAATACCCGCGATCCATTCTTGGGTAATGTTCGGATAAACATTCTCTATACTTACTTATCCTCTCCGTACCCCGTAGGAAGCAGAAGCCATTCAACAAAAAACGCCACTGAAGACGATCACAGGCAACAACCTGCACTTCTCTCCAAATGTTCCACCCAGTTTTTTCTTTCTCTCTCTTCTGTGCGCCTCCAGGTCTTCTTTGGTCTTCCTTGCTTTCTTTTTCCTTCCAGAGCAATTCTCATGTTTGGAATGGTGTCTCTTCGGAGAATATGGCCAATCCATTTCTGTTGTCTCACTTTGATTGTTGTGGAGAGTGGGGTGGTTCTTGTTCTTTCATACAATTGTGGATTTGAGATATTGTCTGGACACTGAAAACATTCTTTGTAGAGTTTAACAAAGTGTTCTGAAACTACACTAGCTACACTTAGTCTAGCTAGATATTTGGATCACTTTGCTTTTCTATCTAAATAGACAAAATGTTCTACCTTTTTAAGTAAATATATACTTTAATGTTAGCATCAATTACTTTGTTAACTACATGTACATTGTTTCAGACGTCATGTTGTCACAGTTGAAACAACGACATATACTTTTGAAATGTCCAGTAATTGAAAGTTTTTAGTTTGCTGAAAATCCAGAAAAAAATGAACATGCTGATATATTAGCAAAGTAGGAGGCACCTCAACCACTCAATACAATAAAAAAAAATTTGAGGATATCGATATCTTGGTGAGTAGACAATAAAAATTCTGAAGGATGTCTTAAGCAATCAGCAGACAGTACACAAGATCGTATAGGTCTCAACCAAACAATGGACAGATCTAGAAAGTATTCAGTAAAATCAAAGTATAACTTCTTGACTTGTACTGCATATAGGAATAAATGCATGCCTCACAGTAGCTTTTGAGTTTTCATTTTATCCTATCCCAATCCCTCTATCTGGCCTTTTATCTCCCTTCCTAATCGATATATCGGATTTAAAGATTCCTCTACAGCTAACAAATTAATTCTGAGGAAAATGATCGATGCAATCACGTTATGAAGGCACAACCACCCTGGATTTTACGGATATCTTTATCATTCATGAATCATTCACAAATGTAAATATGTTTACATCTGTCGATATTTTATCAATAACCATTTCTGTACAATATAGGGTATGGCTTCATTATCGGATTACAAGATAAAGTTAATAGGAAAAGAGAAACTAGGAGTCGGAATGATAAAAAAATTAACGTAAAATAAGGAATATATGAGAATTATATCCGGTCTTGGAGCACAAGCTAATTAATTCTTGCATAAGCATTTATCCGCTTATAAATGCTAATTATTTCTTGCTCTAATATTGATTACATGTATATCATTTTATATTCCCAACCAGTTTCTTTGCTACAAAAAAGTTGAAGATCTATCAATCAATCAAAACGATTGAACCTAACGCTTCATGTGCGGAATTTATGAATTTTGGAGAGGATCCCGAATACAATAGTAATCACATCCCACGATGTCAAGTTTGAAATAAGAAGTACAGAAACAAATATGGAAGGGGGGCTCATATGTAAAGGGGTAATTTTGATTGTAAAGTTTTACAATACCCATACTCTCTAAAGAAAGTTCGGATATATTATTGTTATCCTGGTCCGTCCGTCCGGCTGTTCATCCGTCTGTCACACTATCTTCTTCTTCAAACTATTCTTACATTTCACGCAGTAACCATCTCATCTTTTGGCATATGATTGGGGATGCCTGAACATTGTGCATAAAGATTTTGAAATTTTATTTTAACCCTGGGGCCAAATTGGGGTGGAAAAAATGACGTTTTTCTACAGAAATCTGGATCCCTGAACTCCTCTTACATTTCTTGCAGTAGCCCATTCATATTTTGAAATATGATTAGTCTGTGTGTCTTGTAGGTGTCAATGAGGTTAGAAATTTCGATTTTCACCCTGGGGACAGATGGGATCAAAAAACGATGTTTTTCTACAAAAACTTGTTTCCCTGAACTCCTCATACATTTTCTGCAGTAGCCAACTCATCTTTTAAAATATGATTGGGAGTGTCCTGCAGATGTACAATATAGTTACGGAATTTAGATTTTTGCCCTGAGGGCCAAATGGGGGTCGAAAAACGACGATTTTCATTGTACAAAAACCTGTTCCCTGAACTCCTCTTACATTTTCTGCAGTAGCGATTTCATCTATTGCAGATTTTTATCATTTTGAAAATGCACAATATTAGCATAGAATATGGCAAATTTAAAATATATATTTTTTTATAACTATATATTTTTATTGTCAATCTAGAAATAAATTCAATTTTGTTCATAATTTATTTCAATTATGGCAAATTATAACAATATAAAAAGTTATTGACAATAAAGAGCAAAATGTTAAAATATTCACATCACATTCACAATAACTATCATAAACTAAGTCACTCAATCAAACATAAATCTAATAATAATGATTTAATGCCCCACATGCTAAGGAAATAAATTAGATTTATAATGCACTAATCAAATCTTTGATCTCAATACTCCTTCTTGTGCCATTGATACTGCTAGTACACCGTCTCTCCTCCATATACGACCCAGAGCTAAGGCTTTACCTTTACCTGAAATGAAGGAAAAATATGTTTTATAAACCCTTATTACTTGTATGTGTAGATATAGAGTAAGGTCTTGTAGACTTTCCATAAAATGTATACCAAACTTGCAAAAAGGAAATACCTGCTTATAACCTAGTTATACATAGTTTATATGGACAAGAATGGGTGGACAATGTTGAGGTCACTGGGTGTAAAGTGCAAAAGTGACCTCATCATTGTCCAAATAACCACCTGCAGGGTTGTTAATGTTACACACCTTGTGGATACAAATAACCTTTGTGCATGGTATAATCTTCTAATATTTTACTCCACTTTAAAGTTTTGTCCAAAACAAGAATATGATATAAAACCTGTGACCTTGGGTCACTGACCTTGTCAAAGTTTCCCTGGATTAGTTTCTAGACATTTCCTCAACTCACAAGCAACCTTTGTCTCAAGTACAAGTTTAAAATGTTTGAATATTTCAAAGTTGTGGCTATAACAATAATTCGATACTTTTGTACCCCATGGCCTTGACCATGTACAAATGACCTTGGTTGAGAATCAAGACACATTTTTGGTCACAAGCTTCCTCTGTATTATGTATGAGACTCTAAATTTTCCCCGTTTCAAAGTTTATTCAGACAAGAATTTCCCTCCTCTTGACTTATTCCTGTCAAACAAAATGATGAAGTCCACAAATTGAAAACAATTCTCTTAAATGTTGAAAAATTGTCAAATCATTAAGAGAAAATCAGGTGCACATCTTTTTATGGCAAATGAAGATGGTATAAATTTTCAAAAAAAATCCATATGCTAGTCTCATAGAAGATGTCCATACAAAATCCACAAATAGCTGGGCTGACAGACAGAGAAACAAACTGATTCCAATATACCCCCTAAACTTCGTTTGTGGGGAATCAATAACAATTTATGTACAAAAAAAATAAGGTGATTTTGGTCATCCCTACAGTTCATTATACATATATCTGTGCTGACTGTTCAGGTAGGGGTTTGCAATTAAGAAACTTTATATAATCTTCCTAACTGCATGTTTCTGAAAACCTGCCTCTCCTCCCTCCTTCCCCTTTCTAATGTACAGAAGAACTTACCACATTGAGGACTTTCTATTTCATACAGCATCCACTCTTCAGCTCTAAATGTATTATGAAACCACATACTGTGGTCTAAAGAAGTAATGAAGCCTAGCTGGTGCCCGACTGGAGCTGGTTGCTTGGCAGCCCCTAACAAAGCCAGATCTGAGATAAATCCCGCCACACACTGCTGAAGCTGCATGTTATCTCCTGTAAATGTAAATACGAGGATGATGTTCTATACTGTAGCATTCAAGTGTTTATGACAAGTTTTAAACAGCTACCAAATAAGACAATTTTTTTGGAAAAGCAGAACCATCTGTATTTCATCACACATAATTTGAAAAGAATATAAAGAGAACTGTGTTTCTAATGCATATAAATGGAATATGAAAGAGAAAATTCCAGTTTATGTAAAGTTATTTTTTAAACTATCTAAAATTAACAACAGTCAAAGCTTAATGTCAGGTCTACCATACCTATATTTTCAATGGCTCTGACCCAAACATAGCGGCGGGCTTCCCCCTGTTTCTGTCCATGATAAAGCTGTGGATCTATAGGACGGGACTCTATATGAAGGGACTGTGTGAGATATTCACTAATTAATAGTCTCTCTGAATCTGACATCTCCTCAGTTCTATAGAAAGTGGTTCAAAGAAGAGATAGTTATACATATATGGAAAATACTGAACATTTATGAATTAGATATATATGTTGTATTATTTAAGTTTGTAGATTTTTCATTAAATGAAAAATGAAAACATTTACCTGGTAATAATGAACACAATTATCAATTAATAATGAAGTTATAATGCAAATTTAGTTGGGTTTTTTTTTTGGCATATTTAGCAAACAAAATTATTTTGAATGCAACTCTGTACAATTTTAGCTTATACATTTAACACATGTGTAAGATGCCAATTTTAATTTCAGTTTAAATTGCTATATCAATTTTTTCCTATTCTATTTTCAAAAGACTTTTCTTGTACATGATTAATATTTATAGAATAATATGATAGCAAAATACACTACTGCACCAAATTCCATTTAAATAATATCTTTAATTCTAACTTGATGCCTACATATAAAATGTATGAAATAGAACAAGTTAAAAAGTATATACTATCCTCAAGAACAATTCAATACTTACTCTAGCCTGTTTTTCATATAGTCTCTAGAACTAATTAATTCTTCAGGGTCAGGAACAACAGGCATTTTAAACTGATGTTCCAATGGATCTGTTTCCTCTACTTTAAAAGAGGCTTGCATTGTGAAAATAGGGATTCCTTCCTGTGTGGCCTTGATGTTACGACTTGTATAGGTCTTACCATCCCTTGTCCGATCCACATGGTACAGAATGGGTTTTTCATTATTACCTGAAATAAAACAAGTCATTTTTTATTCATTCATTCATATTAGGTACCTATTGAAAGATGTTTGGCAATATTGAAATAACTTAAAGCAAACTATCAAGGTATTTCCTTACCTCCCCTTAAAAAGTAGCAGTGAAGACTGTGTAATAAAAGTTCATCTGCCACTGTGTTGAATGCTGCAGTTAAAGCCTGGCCAACTACCTGTCCACCGAAAACAAACCTAGACCCAACTGGCCGCCAAAGGCTCTTAGATGAAGCTCTTATAAGAAATATACAGAAATGTAATTAAATCTCATCTTAAAGTAGCGATTAGTGTATCAACATTTTCATGGAATTGCAGATTTACGCAGTTCGTACATCTTGTTTTCATACAGAAAAACAATTATTATTAATAATTGATAATAATTAATAAATAAACAATTATTATTAGTGTAATGCGTCAGATAAAAAGATTTCCATGCAAATCAACCACACCTGTATATATTGACATCAATTTTTTTCAACTTAAGAAACGATCTGGCCAAGTCCTCGTTGTCTCTGGACATCGTAACTGTACCGGATGCCATCGTTCTAGCTAGTGACCTAGGAAGTTGTCTGCTGTATTTCGCCTTAGAGCGCTGCACCAGTGACTGAGTTTGACAGGTTAACTGTTGGAATTTACGGAAACTAGTCCGAAACATCCCGATCACTTAATTTCAATTTCGGTACAGTGTGCGGATTGTAAGAATGAAATTTTAGATTACGGTTACATCATCATCATGCTGATCACTAAGGATTTAAGATAAAATGAAAGTAACTCACCATGTGTATCCTGAACCCGATATGTTTTCTTACAAGCTGCATTTATGAAAGATAACTCGTGTTCGTCTACCTGTACATTGTACCATCTAGCGTTATTCCACCCGTAATAGGACCGAATTCTTTAACCTTAGATATTCATCACGTATGAAATACTTTAATATTAATTTATTAAGGAATTTTACAGTAGAAAAGGTTTTACCAAGAAAATTTTTCAAAAAAACCTGAGCAGTAATTATTGCATTGAGGTCTAAAGATATGGCATGTAAAACGTGATATGGCATGTAAAACGTTGCAATTTTTGATCTTTTCCATTTTAAAACCGGAGGGGGCCACTTTTAAAAAATAATAAACACTATCAAAACCTAATTTTATTTCTTTAATGGAAGTAATTCAATTAGTGACAAATTATACGAGGTATGATCAAAAAGTACTTTTGATCATACCTCGTATAATTTGTCATTGTATTGTACAATTTTCTGTTTGTATTGATAAATTTTCATTTGTATTTTTATTATATTTTTCATTTGTGTTGGATAGTGTTTGTTTGTTGGTTGGTTTTTTGTTGTCGTTGTTGTTGTTTCTGTTTTTGTTTGTTTGTTTTGTTTTGTTGTTGTTGTTGTTGTTGTTGTTGTTGTTGTTGTTGTTTTGTTTGTATCCTCTATTTTTCCATTAGTATTGTATGATTTTATTTTTAGTGTATATTTTTTATTTGTATTCTTTATTTTCTATTTGTATTGTATGATTTCATTTGTCTTATATAATTTTCCATTTACATGGTATAATTCTCCGTTTGTATTATATAATTTTTCATTGTGTTGTATAATTTTCCATTTGAATTGTATAATTTTTCATTTTTATTCTATATTTTTCATTTGAGCTGTATATTTTTTTTTAATTTGCATTCTGTTATTTTCCATTAGTGTTGAATGATTTTATTTTTTATTTTTAATTAGTGATTTTTTTTTATTTGTATTCTTTATTTTCCATTTGTATTCTTTAATTTTCCTTTTGCATTTTATAATTTCTCATTTGTATTCCATATTTTCATTTGTGTTGTATAATTTTTTTTGGGTATTCTATAATTTTCCATTAGTATAGTATGATTTTATTTTTCATATATATATATATATATATATATATATATATATATATATATATATATATATATATATATATATATATATATATATATATATATATATTATATAATTTATATTCTTTATTTTCCATTCCATCTAAAGGAAAATTTACTATAGCAAAATACTATATTCAGAACCCCCCCCTCCCCCCCCCCCCCCCCCCCCCGCGTTCTACGGGTCTGTCATGCCAAGGTTTGCTTTCAGAACCAAGAAATTTACTTTATAGCGAAAAAAGCATTATTTGTATGTCCCAGTACAAAAATGTTTGTTTTTGCTTCTGCATATTACGGAATGATATGTTTTTGCTACATTGCGATGTACGACACAGGACATTCATATAATTATAAACTATTTTTTATCGGATTATTATCCAATTGTTTTGAACATATTTTATTGAATTAATCAAAAGGATTGGAAACAAGTTCTTGCAACTTACTGGTTCCTCTCCTTAAATATAACAATATGTCATGCAAATAATACATTAAAATCTAATATTTTCAAGTGATATATAAAGTGAATAAGACGTCAATTTAAAATCTACATGTTTCATCAATAAATTTATGAACAGCAGCAAAAATATTGTTATTAGTAAGTACAGGCAAATTTTTATCACCCCATAATAACAGGTTTGTGTCAATTGTAACCAATTCATCAAGCAAAAACAGGTGATTGAAAAGATTGTTCCTAGCATTTGCATAATTTCTGCAAGCAAAAAAATAATGATAAGCATCTTCATACTTGTACACGTGAACAGAGGGGATTGTTGATGATATTGCGTCTATATAGATCATAATTAAGTAAACAGTTGTGTCTTAGTTTAGTATGAATTATGTTTGTGTAGCGTTTGCCAAAAGAAAAATACGTTGGCGGATAGCTGATTTTTGCACAAGCTCTTAAGTTTTTACGAAATGAATTAATTGAAATGGCTTCTCTTGTTTCTAATTTTAATAAGTTCCATTGTTTCACGGCGTCTGGTACAAATGACCTTTTGAATAGTTCTAATCTACATCTTGGGATAATAAACTGCTCTTTGTTGCGGGTATTGTACTTTGATACATTTTCATGCTTGTTTGGTATAATATTACTTAAATATTCAGGAACAGTCCCTTTATGAATTTTGAACATAGTAGTCATTTTTGCAATATAGCGCCTAAATTTTAAAGTTTCCCAACCAGTTTCTAAATAAAGTGTTTCTGTAGACGCAAAAATAGGAAGTCCTGTGACAATTCTAGCCGCAGCTAGTTGTACTTTTTCAAGTTTTTCAGAATCATATTCAGAGCAACCATCCCAAACAATAGAAGCGTATTCAAGCATTGGTCTAACAAATGTAGTGTACAATTTTGAGAGGTTATTTCTACTCAATTTAAACTTTAGTTTTTTCAAAAGCCCAAGTTTTTTATAAGCATTGTTTACAATACCGTCAATATATGCAGACCAGGTAAGATTCTGTGACAATAATAAGCCCAAGTGTCTATGGACTGGAACGCACTCCAGTCTATCTCCTTTAAAGAATAATTTAGGCAGGACAGAAATAGACTTCGTGTTAAAGAAAACAACCTTTGTTTTAGATGGGTTAAATTTTAGAAGCCATTTATTTGACCATAATTCTAAAATATATAAATCGTGGTTTAGCTTGTATTCGATATCTAAAATATTGTATGAACTTTGTTGGAGCGAATTATCATCAGCAAACAACCTACACATGGACATCATATTTTCAGCAACATCGTTTACATATATCAGAAATAAAAGTGGCCCCAAGACAGAGCCCTGTGGTACACCTGCAAATAAATCAAGTCTTGATGACAACAAATCCTTATACATTACTATTGTTATCCAATCAAATAGCGTGTTACAACCAGAATTAAATGAAATTATGCATGTCACCGCTTACTGAACGTCATAACTATCGCTGAAATGGCACTAAAATCATCACAGTGATGGTCACTGATGATTGCATTTCCTTCTATTGCGAGCCCCTCCGCCTTCCTTCCCACCTCTTTTTTCTTTTCTTTTTTTTCTTTTTTGAATATACACCATCCATTTCCCGTTTACAGATCTTCAGAAGCAAACATTACTTAATATATTCTTTTATTGCTTTTTATTTCAAAGGATTACATCACATTTTCCGAGGGTAAAATTTTCCACTCCACTGTAAAACACAAGAGAAATTTCATCTGTTAAAAAAATGGAAAGACACAAAACCCTACATATACAGCATATTTTTGGTTAAATTCAGTTTATTCATAAAATTGACGAATTTTAAGGTTTTTTTCTCCCTAATCTGGTTCTTTCTAAACAAACCAAAAGAACATCATTTTACAGTTCAAAACACATTTAAAGAGAGAGAGAGAGGGAGAGAGAGAAAGAGAGAGAGACTTACTGACACCTGGCCAGGCATGGGTTATTATATTGTATTCCATTATAACCACATACATCAATCATTATTCGGTTGCAGCGACATTTTCGGTTCTCTTCGCAAGGACCGACATCCTGAATGCCGACATTACTACAGAATACATGTGATACAAATTCAGGACTTCAATAAAGAAAAAAAAACTGTGGAGGTCAGTGAGACTGCATACATGGAACAAAAAGAAAAATTGGGATCACAAATCCTGTTTTTAATCCTTTCTGAGGACGGTTACTGTTCATGCCTAAACATAGTTTTGATTCTTGAGATGTCTCTAAATAACATTTTTAATAATTTCTACTAATTTTCATATAAGAACGGAGAAATGAGGTTTTCAGATTTTTCAGGATCACAAACATTTTGGCAAAAAAGAAAAAAAATGAAAGTATTTTCCTTTATCGAAATATTCTAAGTTAACACACCATATTTCTTTAGATACTACGCGTATTTTGATTTCAGATAACTTTAAAAGCATATTATAATTTATACTAAGAAAATTAAGAGTTTTGTGTAGCATAAAACCTGTTTTTATTGTATTGATATTTGTCTATCTCTGTAAAACAGCGCATTGCGCGTATTCTGACAATGTTTATAATTACTGGTACTTCGGGTTCTGGAAAAAAACCCAAAACAAACCCTTCTCCCTCTATCTTTTAATTCGTTAATCAGAATTTGGCTGGGAAGAAAAACATAGGATTAAATCTGTTTGTCAAGCTCCCTTTCTTTATCGATATAAACGCCGCATTACTTTACTGATGCAAAAATGTTAAGACAAAAGGCAATTTTTTATTTTTAAAACATAGAAAAATTTGAAGTAATTAAAACTTGCATAATATTTGTTGGTTAAAATAGAAAAAGGAAACTTACGCCCTTTTAGCGTAACACTCATTCGCGTACGTGATACCATCTCGTCCACAGAGGAGGGTGAGGTCTCTGGGACAGGATTCCTTGGACGAATCCTCGCTGAGGGACAAAGCAACCAAGATCACGCCCACAAAAATAAAGATCATCCCCGTATCTGCCTTGGATTCAATATTTCAATAAAATAAAGTGTCTGTTTTCAAAAAAGAAGAGAGAGAAACTTGAGAGATGTTAAAAATGAGGCTCTTACTCTTTGCTGTGAATTTATATCATCGAATAGTTTATTTTCATGGATGATAGTTTATATATGTAGACAAAGAATATTTATCATGTAATTTAGATACGTATATGATGATGGACAAAGTGAATAACTAAGGCTATTAAACATTTTCGTGTATACCATTGTAAACTACTGGTCCTCGTACTTATTTCCCCATAAATCTGTCGTTAAATGATACAGCATCCTACACTGTCAGGAGGGGGGAACGGTCTTTAAAGAAGCCTTGCGCAGTTGGCATCTCGTTCATTTCAGAAATGTAAAACTGTAGTTTTGACAAAAGTTATTACATATTTAAAAAGTATACCTTGGAATTTATATACTAGCTTTCTGTGTCAAGGTTGATGGCAAGACACATTTTCCATAAGTTTTGTTAATTCATAATTTAGATTGTTCCTCGGAAAAAGCTCAACAACCTTTAGTTGATGTAGGAGTCTGTTAATTGGTCTTTGTTATACTATTGTATGTGCATTATATACCTGTGTATGCCTCCAAGATTCTTCGACTATAAAAAGCGTTTATCTTGCATTTGATGGCACAAAATTCATATATGTCATGCGCGGATCTGGGGGGGGGGGGTTCCGGAACCCCCCCCCCCCCTGGAATTTGCAGAGTTATTAAAAGTATGTACTGAAGCAAATAAAAAAATGACTTTGGACCCCCCTCCCCCGAAAACGTGGACCCCACTATCACCGCCATGAAATAGGGTTTTCACGTTTGGGTAATGGATTTTACTTCTTTTTTTTTTTTTTTTTGCTTGTCAAGAAATTTCTGGGTAAGAAAATTTTTGACTGGGTTGGACCCCCCCTGGAAAAAATTCCTGGATCCGCGCCTGCATATTAAATTCTGTCAGAGAATTTAATATTGATAAAAATTTGCCAGACAAAACTTATAAATAATCGGTATTTGAACACAGAGCTTACAGGAAATACTCCCTAAAGCTAGGATGAGGGGAATACCAGTTTAGCATTGTACATTAGTTATATAATTTCTTAATTGCAATGCAGAATTATATTGGTGGATGGGTTGATAATTTGATAAGTTACATATAAATAACTCTAAGTTTTAACATAATTATGCAGTAAAACTTGATCATCAAAATCTTTTATGACAGAACAATTTGTGATAATTCTCGTTTTCCATATTACTCATCACACACAAAGTTCAGAGCCCAGAGAGAATCAAATTATATTCCAGTTGCCATATGAATATGAAACATTAAATGCCCTGCAACATTAGGCATTCATCGACATCAAGCCATCTGCTAATCGGGAATAGGGGTTACACAATATAAGAACATTAATCTACTGAACTTGTATATTACCTTTCATAGACAAAGAAAGATAACTGCTATATAAAGAACTTGGGAGAATAAGGAGTAGGAAATTCCTACAAGTTCGATATTTAGTTTTTAAATACATGTACTTTTTATTAGACATGAATGGATAAGAATTGCCCTAAATTCTAATTTTTACAAACTGAGTTTAATTTCTATATTTCTACAGAAAATTGTCAACAAAAATTAGCAATTTAATATGTAGAAATGTGAATGAAAATACATATAATGGACTTGTTTTTTTTTAAATGAATCTGCATTTTATCTGCTTAATGAAACACCTCATAAAAAGTTATATGGACTTCAAATATTGTCATAAGTATGAATGTTGTCTTAAAAATGTATTTTAAAGTATAATATTGTTACTCCATGTTCTTGTTACCACAAAACTCTATATTTTTACTCATACTTTGAAAATATACTTTTAATAGAATGGAGCAAAGACACACTCATACACAGAGTTAAAGTCTGTGCACAGAGATGGTCATTTTTGCTTTCTTTGGGGTGTGCATGCTATTTATCTAAACAGGTAATTTTAATACTTTTTGAGATAAAAGCATTATTATAAAGATTTTAAAGCAGTAATACACTGTACATTGATATTAAGTAATGTTTTAAAAATAAATTTTATTTATTTCTTTTTTTGGTGCAAGCATGGGCAATATTGGCTCATCACCCCTGGTCTTTGTTCTAATTGTTTGATCTCTTTTTTACAGGAATTTTTTCATCATGCCAATATTATCACAGGATCCACAGCGATTCCAGTATCATAGCATTTAAAGAAAAAAAACAAATGATTCTTGTTCATAACTTTATTAAAATCTGTAAGATTCAACCAATAGAAAAATGAAAAACTGGCTACAACAGTAATGATTTAAATAAGTAAAATGATATGTTGTAATACCTTATTAGTGCACTGGTAAACGGCTATACTGATTACATTCACTGATGTTAAGTCTGATCTGCAAGTGTGTACAACACTTGTGACGACACACAACAGTATTTCGTTGACTGTTAGTGCATGGTATTTGAGTCAATGTTGGCATGAAAAAAAATTCTAGTAGTTAAAAATATAACAAAAACAAATAATTATTTCAGTTTTGTATAGTGTAACAGTGTATATATATTTTTTGGACACATAAACAGGTTTGTTGTCTGTTGATATTACCATGTGATCTGGTGAATAATTGCCCTCATAAACCCCAAAAATGTGCATAAACCTTCATCTACTTGATACATCATAACATCTATAACCAACTAATCTAAGACATAACTAAATTACCAAACAATACCACTGCATTTCTTTTTTTAAAGAAAAATACTTGTACATGTACTAAGATTTCTTGAAAAATCATACATGATTAGCCAAAACTTTTTTCTGAGTGTTTGATCAATGTACATTGATAAAACTGACAATTTAAAAGAAATTTTAAGTTTATATCACAGACAATAGAAATACTATTTATAGACACAAAACTTTTCCCACTACAAAATTCCTGATGTTTGACAACCAAAGAAAATGTGCAGCATATTAATGACTATCACTACAATTGTGCATCAAGAATGATCAATTTCAAGTTACAATAAACACTGATTGTAACAATACAATTATTTTCTGTTTTACTTTGGTGTGTATCTATCTTTTTATAAAACCAAACTTTGGGAAATAATTTGATTTATTCTTCATGTAAAATAAAAAACAATAAAATGATGACCTACTTAATCTATAATGCAATATGCATATTTGATAGTAAGCTACATTCAACTTGCATATTATGGTCATTTCTCAATTTCTGTCCAACAGTCCAAACAGCACTGAAATTATCTACATCCCTTTCACAAAATTCATCCAATTTTGATTTAAACAGGAAATCTCAATATAATATAAACAAATAGAAATGGGAATGTTGTGGAGGAAGAAAAAGGTGACAAAAATGGATTGGAACAAATCATTGTTGATCACAATATGAATATGAATGATAACAATTACTGCAGTTAATTATATACTTGTAACCTAACATTTATTACTCAATAATGCCACAAAATATCTGTACTACAATTTGTTGGATAAAATAATTTATTAGAATTTTGCTTAAATTCTGTTAAGGTATACCTTTGAAAGCTTCAACAGTTTCTCTCCAAACTGGAGCAAATATTTGATTTTTTGAATTTATAAAATGAAAAAAGATTCTCATTAACTGGAGAAGTATTTTGGCACTGATATGATTTAACCCTGTTAAAAGAAAAAATGTCAAACCCTTTTAGATTTTAAAAGAAAAATCATCAAAAGAATAAATAATTACTAAAACAAAATGGCAAACTGGAAAACATACTTTTTTATACACTATATAATATCATACTTGAAAAAAAGAGTTGTTTGCAACTACATGTTGTTTAATTTCTTTTACAAAATGAAAAATGATCTTTAATACATTCTTTAAAATTAAAAAAAAAATTGTTACAAACCCTAAAAAGGGGATTTCAAAACTTCCAATGCCTTAATAAATTTACAGGCTGATTATATATTGAACCACAGAAGAAGAAAAAAGTCTTCTGTTTTTAGGTCCTACTACAGAAGTATAAAATAACAACAGATTCATGTGATTGAAATTTTTGGCCTAACTGCCATGAGAACTAGAATGTGCATACTTGACAGGAGAAAGTGTCATACCCACAGAGTTATGTTTTAGGCTGAGTCTGAATGGATCGTCTTGATGACCTTCAAAGAAAAAAAACTGATGTTTTCATAAAGAAAAGCAAGCTAATATTCATATGTGGTCAGTTTTTTTTATATCAAGAACTGTGTTTAACTTAAGCATAAATGAATATTACTTTTATTTAACTAATTGCTTCAATTGGGGTGCTGTATTTTGATAGGGTTGTCAAATGACTTTTATACCTTTCACAGATATATGTTAATTTTCATGCGTGGATATACATGTACTTGCACATGTTCATGTAATAAAAAATGCCAACTTTTCCATATACACAGATTGAAACTGGTTTTTTTAAACATTGAAATAAAAAGTATAGCTGTCTAATTATTCTCAAGTTTGTGTAAAGAGGTATAGCACACTTAGTATACAACAAAACCTACAATATAGCGTATTTATGAACATCCAAAAATTTTCACTATTTTATCATGTTTACTACATCTAGCTATAAACAAATACAAATTACACAAGTATCTGGCAAAAATATACATAAATATCTCAAAAAAGATCAATGAAATTTACTGATTTTGTATGGAACATATGGAGAATTTGAGGTACTCTTGAGCAAGCTCACAAAATAATATCCCCCACTGTAATTTTTTTTAAAATGCTCATTCACAATTTTATAGTGAACTTGAACTTGTCAAAAGGACTTTGGTTAAACAAGAGGTCTATGGGCCACATCGCTCACCTAAGCACTTTGGCTAGGAAAAAGCAGAAATCAGTTCAGTATTGAAAAGTTTAAATATAAAAGTGGTCCCTATATTTGATCTTCTATTGAGGCCTTGCCTTGCCTTCACATGATTTGAAGTTGAACACACTTGAATCAATCTACACCATATGAGGATACTTCTAAATTAATATGAATAATCATAGCATTGCTGGTCTAGAGAAGAAAATTTTTTATTGATATATCCCTTATATTCCTTTGTATAACTTAAATCCTATGTTGTGGCCCCACCCTTCCCCCGGCGGTCATGATTTGAACAAACTTGTCTCTTCACTAGCTAATGATGCCTCCATAAAAATATGAATATCATGGCTTTGCTGTTCTTGAGAAAATTTTTAAATAATTTTCCCTATGTATTCCTTTGTAAAACTTTGATCATACATTGTAGCCCCACCCAACCCAGAGGGGTCATGATTTGAACAAACTTGGATCTACACTATCTGAGGATGCTTCCAAATCAACATGACTTAACATGGATTTGCTGTTCTTCTTCTTCTTCAGATTTTTAATGATTTTTTTCCTATTTATTCCTAATATGTAAAACTTTCATTCCCCATTGTGATCAATCATGGTTTTGCTGTTCTTGGTAAGAAGGTTTTTGAAGATTTTTTCCTATATATTCCTATGTAAAATTTTGATCCCCCATTGTGGCCCCACCCTACCCCCAGGGGTCATGATTTGAACAAATTTGAATCTACACTATGTAAAGAAGGTTTCACATAAGTTTCAACTTTTTTGGCCCAGTGGTTCCTGAGAAGAAGATTTTCAAAAGATACCAAATTTTCACTATTTCTTAATTATCTCCCCTAGGAATAGGGAGTGACCCTTCATATGAACAAATTTGAATCCCCTTAACTCAAGGATACTCTGTGCCAAGTTTGGTTGAAATTGGCCCAATGGTTCTGGAGAAGAAGATGAAAATGTGAAAAGACAACGACAGCAACAAATACGACAAGGACGGACAACAGACAAATTTCGATCAGAAAAGCTCACTTGAACCTTCGGCTCAGGTGAGTTAAAAAATGGGGATGTGTTGATGACATAGTTAAAGATGCAATGGTAGTTTTGTAAACAGAAAGTGATCTAGACCTTTTAGGAAAATGAAATCTTGAAAAAAGTAAAGGAAAAAAACATTAGGCTTTATAATTTTATAAAATATTCAACATATTAAAAATTGAAATAATGAAACATAAAGTGATATATGCATATTGCAAAAAGGCTGGTTGTAAAGTAATAATATAGATCTTGTATGTTATCGTGAATTTATATTCTGAATCAAAGCATAAGTTCACAAAAAAATCTTATAAATGATAGTTCAAAGTTCAAAATCACTTCATATAAAATGACACAGATAAAAAAAAAATTGAAAGATTTATAAACATTTTTATCTCAGGTAGTGGAAAAGATAAGTGCAAAATGTATTCATTCCTATTTACAATAAAAAATGTGTTAGCATTCTGGTATCTTATTTGCATGCAATAAATGCTTAATGTTTATTAAAAGTTGTTTGTATTGCAAAATACAATGTATATGTATCAAATTAAACATTTTTACAAGCTCATGCTCACATTAAAACTAGACATTGATTTCAAAGTTTCTTAACAGTTACTACATGTACAACATATTATTGATCTTCATATGATTTTCAATAATTAATCTAAATCATGCATGCAAAATTAGTTCCATTAATAGTGTTAGAACTAGATACAAGCCTAATATAGATGACTCTCTCCACAGAAGTTTAGGGATCACTTTATGACATAGTGTACACATATACAAAGGCTGAGAATTAACAAAGTGCATAAGGACACATCATAAGATGGTCAGATTTGTATACATGTATATGTAATCCCATTTTATGATGTTTAATGGTTTTGAATGTCTTTTAGTCAGAGGTCTGAATGCCTTCCCCACAAAATAAATCAACAGAAGGAAATAAATACAGTTGAACTTCAGTATCTCAAACACTGATATCTCGAATACCATGGATATGTCGAAATGATTTGGAAGTCCCAATTACTTATTCTTTCAGTACTGGAGAAGCACAAATTTTTGTGGGGGTAAAATTTTGTTAATTTGTCATCCATAAAGGTAACATGGGCATTGAATTTTGTTGTTTCAAAAGTAACCCTATTCAATGTATAGTCAGAAAAAAAATTCGTGGGGGATTTAATTCCGTTGCCAATTGTTTACATTGAAATAAATGAAATTAAATTCTCAATGAATATTTCTGCTTTTACAGTATTTTACCATTGATATCTCGAATGCTTGGATATCTTGAAGTTTTTTCTCAGTCCCATTGAGTTCAAGATAATGAGGTTTGACTGTATGTGAGACTCAATGGTTGCCTTAGCAACAGTGACAAACTCTTATTTTACCTCTAATAATGACCTTCTGTGTAGTTCATCTGACACAGATTTGATCAAATTTGAGTCATCTAGTTCACTTGTCAAGGGCATGATCAAGATTTGGCAGAATATGATAACATAAGATGGAAAACAATAAATGGGAATGAATAAATAAAACCAATTTAGTGAAAAATGAAATACAGGTACAACAAAATTTACTAAAAAATATACTTTAAAATGTTCATGCAGTTTTGAAGGGCTTGAGTGCAGTTTGGAGAAAGGAGAATGAAATGACAGTGTTCTCTTCTCAGGAAACTGAAGGTCCATGTGTTTAGCGTTAGTCTCTTTGACACTCAGTATTCTATGTGTTTTATCATCACCTGTTAAATCCATCCCGTCTTCCTGGTCTGTTTCCCAGGATTTTATCAAGTTCTCCCATGATGGCTGGTGTCAGTTTTGGAACCCACTACAAATGTTTATAAAATATGATGACTAACAACATTACATGTATATTCAATTATGTTAAACCCAACAAGAGGCCCATGGGCCACAATGCTCAATTGAGTAACTTGGCCCTGATGTTCTTTATCAGATGATTTTTGCAAGAAATTTTCCCTCTTTATTCCCAATCAAATATTTTTATCCCACACTGTGGTCCCACCCTAGCCCCTTAGTGTCATGACTTGATTGAACTTTAATCCACACAACATGTGGATATATCAATATCAATATGACTAACATTGCCTAGTTGTTCTAGAAAAAAAGAATTTTTGAAGATATTTTACAGAATATATTCATTGTGTAAAATTTTAGCCCCAAACCAGGGTCCATAATTTGAAGAAGAAAAACACAGGAATCTACACAATGAGGAAATATTTTCATAATAAATATATTTTAGTGTGGCCCTGCTCCTCTTGAAAAGAAATTTCAAATATATTCCTGTGTAAAACTCTCATCCATTGTTGCAATCTTGGGGATCATTATTTGCTAAAATTTGAATATGCATTATCTGAGGATGCTTGAATATCAATAACATGTAATATTACTGATTATGACACTGCTGTACTTGAACAGAAGATTTTAATAAAAGAATTTTTCATATACTGTACATTACCACATAAACCTTTGATCCTTTATTCTGGCCCCACCCTACTCCCTAGGGAAATGATTTGAACAAATTTGAATCTGCACTACCTGAAAATGCTTTCATACTAAAATCATTAATCATAATCAGGGCTGTTCTTGAGAAAAAGATTTTGTCCTATATATATTCCCATATAAAATATGATTCCCTACTGTGAGAAAAAGTCAAATTGGTTAAGTTTACAAGAGACAGAAGAGTAAATGTTTACCTTTCATTATGCTTTACAGACAGACAGATGCCAGACAATGGATGATCAGAAAAACTTATTTGAGCTCACAGTTCAAGTGAACTGAAAACTTTTATCCCAAGTATCCACAAGCACATATAATGGTACTGCAACATTATATTCCTCAGTATCTAGATGACTATAACAATGATATTCAGAAAATATAGGGTACCTTATTTTCTCAGAGAACAGATAAAACTAGTGTCTGTCTCCCTCACCCCAAACTTATTTTAATAAATGTTACCTTTTCATTATGTTTTACCTGTAAAGCTTGTATATTTGTGTACAACTGATCAACAGTGGAGGCCCCGAGTAATACACTGTTTACATTATCATTTTTCAAACACCAGGCTGAAAAAGAAAACAAAATGTGATAGTTGTGGTCTACAAATCATTTTAACTGAGTAAAACATGTAAAGAGAATATCAAATTATCCAAAAGTACAACCATATCTTTATTACATTACTTTGATCCATTTGAGAGGACGTTAATTGGTATCTGTGATCAGACAAGATTAATCCTTGTAATGTATTTCTGTCACAATATTTCTAAAACTGATCCTGAACCATCTGTTGCTAAAAGCCCTCACCAATAGCCAGTTGAGTAATGGAGCATCCAATTCTATCTGCTATCACTGCTGCCTCCCGGAGTTTGGCTTGTTGGCGTCGACCATCTTCACTCAAAATTTTGTCTTTTAACCACACATATCCCTAGAAAGGTTATTGTTATAATTGATCATTGTGTATTTTTAAGATCTGATTTACCACTCATTATAACTGACATGACCACTCATTATAACTGACATGAGCAACAAAAAATTCAATGATAAAATCAGTAATGCAGACTGCTTTGTTATGACTAATATTAGCAAGGGTGCAAGTCCTAAATCTTGTACACAAAAAATAGCTGGTTTACAATAATGCACTTTGTATGCTATATGTCAAAAAGAATTTCAGAAGAATTATAATACTTTTTTCAAAGTGTGACCATCTTTATCCCTGCACTGAAGCCTGAATTAAGGATTTAGGGGTCTTGAATCAATTTGACCTATCAGTTACATTATTTACAGTAATAAATAGCAAAGGGAAATAACTTCTCTCAGTAGAGCACAAATTTCCCTACAATATCAATAGAGCCCTGCTCAGCACCACCACACTTGACCCAGTGGTCAAGAATTTCACAAATCTGGTAAAAACACCCTTGCTCTTGACAATAAAGATTTTCTAAGATTTATGCATTTTCACTATATACTCAATAGAGTCCCTTCCCCAAGATCAGAATCCCTGGGGGCATGAATTTCACAATTTTGGAAGAGGAATCCTTGTTCAACATAACTGTGCACTCTTTGTTTGCTAAATATTCCGGGGCAGAGAAGATGGTTTTTAAAGAATTTATGCATTTTTACTATATGATCAACAAAGCTCCACTCTATCACCAGAACCCCTGACCCAGGGGCCATGAATTTCACAATTTTGGAGGAGGCTTCTTTGCTCATCATAATCATGCATGCACTTAGATTGCTTAATACCCAGGAGCAGACAAGAAGATTTTAAAAGAATTTATGCATTTTCACTATATAATCAATGGAACCCTGCTGTAACACCAGAACCCCTGACCCTTGGGCAAAGAATTGCACAATTTGGGAAGAGGAATCTTTGATTATCATAACCATGCACTTAGTTTATCTGCTAACTATCAAGGGGCAGAGAGGAAAATATTCAAAGAAATAATGCATTTTTGCTATATTATCAATACAGACCCCCCCCCCCCCCCCAACACCAGAACCCCTGACCCTGGGGCCATAAATTTCACAACTTTGAAAGAGGCATCCTTGCTCAACATAACCATGCACTTACCGGTACTTTGATTGCTGAATACCCAGGGACAGAGAAGAAGATTTTTAAAGAAATGCATCTTCAATATATGATCAATAGAGCCCCACCCTAACTAATAATTTTGGTAAAGAACTCAATGTTTATTACATTCATGCCAACAGTTTAACTGTTTGATGTCCAGGAGTAAAGAATATTTTTTAACATTGCTTCAATTTTGATGGTTTTAACCCCACTCTTCAGGCCCCAGGGGGGCAGGGATCATGAAATTCACAAATTTTGTTTCCCTATGCCATATGCTATAATTGGTTGAAATTGGTTCAGTAGTTTCAGAGAAGAAGCTGAAAATGTTCAAATGTTAACACACGACGACAGACAAAAATAGATAGTTATAGGTCACTTGATCGAGTGGCTCAGGTGACCTAATAAAATAAGAGTTAGAAAATATCAGTCAAACCTCTCATGTTCTCCTACCCACTGCTTTCAAAATAAGTCAACAGACAACTTTGACATCACAGTTAGAATTTATTTTTTACCAATCCCGCATATATATCATTACTAGGGATGTCAATTTTACTCTGACAGCTTAGTCGAATAGTCAGAGGCTTTAGTCGAATGATAGTCGAGTACTCGTTGAAATTTAAATTAATTTTTCATGTCATTTTTCCTGCTAGCCTGCCTGTACAATATATTTTATTAAATCTACGCTATCACCATTATACAACGAATTATTGAATCATTAACATTTACGTAGTAATAAATATATGTATCCAATGTATTTGATTTCAAATATAATATTTACTGCACATTTTATCTATATACAGAATATCAAACGCTCGCATTTATCCTTTCTTTTCATGTTGCTAGTACTGATTTCTTACCTGAAGCCATTTGAATGTGTATTGTCAGTGACCCATGATTGTTAAACAATTAAAGCGCAACTCATTTAAAAACAAAGAGAGCTTGCGATAAATTTTAATAACGAGATTTTTTGCAAACAATCAATACAATTTGAAAATGATTGATATTAATTTCAGAAAGAAACACCTTGAAATTAAGCTAATAACTGTCCCTCAATTTACATGTATTTACAAATATGTAAAAGCTGTTTAATTATCCTTCATTAATTGATGGTTGCAATATACGAGGTCTTATGGAATTGCAGGTTGAAACTTTACAATTGATCTGACATGTTTTAAAGTATGCCAATGCATGTTTGCTGAACAAAAAAAAAATCCTTTGAACAATTAAGGAAGACTGGTTAAGCTTTCCCTGAGTTTTACGCACGAGAACACTGAACACTGATAGGTTAATAAATGAACTGAGCAGATCCAATTTTTTACCTTGAATTTAAGATTACTATTAAGTAGCAAATTTTTAACGAATAACCGACTAAAAAAATTTTAGTCGATAGTTGTTATGATCGAACGATAGTCGAGTACTCGAATATTCGTAGACATCCCTAATCATTACATATATGAGTTATCTCACTTACAACATTTCCATCTAAAAGGAAACAACACAGTTGTCACCCTGCATGCTCACTTGCATTATTTTATTGTCATCTGAAGGGAGACACAGTTGTCACACTGCGCATGAGGGAAACATCACGAATTGTCTTCCAGTATGTGACATGCACTAAACCAATCAGATTGACTGTATTATAATAGGAGAAAAAGGTTTACACAACTTTAAGATCTGATATTAAAATAAGTACCTTGAGAGCTGCCCTAGAGTAAATAGGAACACCATCATCATATTTTCCTGTCAGAATACCCCCTGCTAAAGGTGACCAGGTGATTGTGCCAACACCTGTTAAGAAAAAAAAAATGTAATGAAAAATTGTCAACATCAACAACATGAAAACCATAACATTACTAGTACCGGTATATTGTTACATAACAAAGCTCACTGTAACAAATCTAAGTCATAGAAATAAAGCCAAGATATATACATAAACATTATTAAGATTACATGGTAAATAATGATCCTTTGAATGATCTATTAAAACCAATAACTAGATCAGGAGGGACTTACCAAAATATTTTTAAACAATCTTACCTTTACTTTTTTAGGAGACAAAACTTTCAAACTGTTTGACCAAATGTCTTAGCATTTTGTTCTATTAAGTTTCAACCCCCCCCCCCCCCCCAAACCCCCTTGGAAAAAAAAATTAAATTAGCCATGACCTTGAATATAATCTGTCCTTGCCTCTAATATAGAAATGTGATGTAAAGTGCCTTCAGTAATATATTAAAGGATTGAACATGTACATGTATTACCAATTTTGTGGTACAATTCTGGCATGGCTATTTCCACCTTGTCTCGTTGAAATAAGTGATATTCTGCCTGTTCAGCAATGGCAGGAATGAGATTGAACTGCCTTGCTACAGAGTACGCCTCCTGCATGAGCAAAGGAAATTTAAAAAAAAGAAAAGAAATTGATTATTTTTCAACCAGGAATATTCTACGCTCTACTATGATAGTGAATTAATTTTTTAAAAAGTTCTTTTGTTTTTGAGTAATAAAAATTCTTAAAAGATCAATCATTCAAATTAAGGACATACGCAACATACTTTGAACTTTATTGTCTTTTCCCCTGGAGTTGAAGAGTTCCAATACTTAAAGGAACTGTGTGCTACATTTTAATGTCTATATATGCTGTTGTACACTTCTTGTAAAACAAGTATGGATAAAAAAAACATCTAGAATATATGTCTAGAAATTTTTGTATATTTTTCTTTGAATTATACAAGAATTTTCATCAATTAATATCTTTTCAAAACCCCTGGTAATGCATGCTTATTTTTTGTCTACGAACATCTGATTGCACTATAATCTTAAATTAAGAATATCTTGAAAAATTATCAGTAGGTAAGGTACGTTAAGTATGTCCTTAAATTAAAGCCTTGCATTGAAATCAATATGTCTTTTTATATGTAAATTCTGGTATTATCAAGTAGGTTAACACTCTTTCTAATGAGGAAGAAATTTGGTCTATATTTACATGTACTTACAAATGAATTTCTATGCAATGATTAAAATCTTTGTTTAATTGTATAAAAGATACTCAATCCAGATCATTATTCCAGTCTCACTTTCCACAGCTGTGGAACTTGCAGTTTTTTTTCCCCAAATTGATTTGAGATATTATCGGGTTTTAATTGTTTTGGAGACTACCTGTAATCACTTACCATGATTTCCGTAGGCGACCACCTTGAAGTTCCCCAGTACATTGCCCAGCCTTGATTGATTACAAATGTAAAAGCCCTAACTATCTCTGCAAGGATAAAGGACAAGCCATTTTAATTAAAACTAAAGGTGTAAATCAATGGTATATTAACTATGGTGCAAACTCCAAGAAAAAACTTTTGATTGCTGTTGATCGACCTGTAGTTACTGTATGTATGCAATAGACAGCATGGCTACTGAAAAAAAAAATTATACCCAACATAAAACTCACTAGAAACTAGATATCATCCAGGACTAAACAGTAGGGTCACATTAGTTACCATAACCTTATTCTCTTGGTCTTCTCATCAATTATTCACAAAATTATGTTGATATTTAAAAACATTGTAATGTACATTTCATACACAATTTGCATTTATAGCTGACTTACTTTTATATAATCGGAATGTGTGTTATATTTCTACAAATAGTTACTGTTAAATAATAAAGGCTGGTATGTTAATTGGCTAATCTTAAGGGAAAGGCATTAATGCCTAGAGGAGGAGTCTGGATATTGCAATTGAAGCCTTGAGAGCCATAGACAATTTGTGCAGAAATTGACCACCCTCCATCCTCCCCAACACTTTCTGGCTCTGCTTAGGGCTGATCATTGTTTAAATCTATGGGAATCATAAGCCCCCTAAGTACTAGAGGTCAATTCCCAAAGGCATTCATTTTTGAAATTGTCTGCCCTCAAAGGTTAGTTTTGCTTATGCTCTGTAGTCTTTGTATTTGTATTGTATTGTATTGTTTATTACCAAGAACCATACAGTTCATAGGTTTAAAGTATATACATAAATCAATTTGTACATTATATATATATAACATTTCATTATCATTTGTATATTAAGTAAAGCAGGATCATAGTAAAGGATCTTACATACTATTCATTCTTGGTTCACGGAGCAGACAAAAGCACCATGATATAAATTAGTCCATAAAGCAAAAAGCACCATAATAAAAGTTGGTAATACATGTAGTAATAGTGAGGATAATCTCGTTATATCAATGTGAGTTAACTTCTGCTCTCAATCTTGTACATTTATAAAGATATTTTCCTAGTTTACATAACTGTTACATTTTTTGTCGACAACAATTGAACAAGTTTAAAGGTAGATGGTTTTTGGTGATAATATTTCTTAATATACTCTTTTGTAACATCGGAAAAAAACGGACAAACCAGAATAAAATGATACTCGTCTTCAACTTGTGACATTGAACAAAATTTGCACAATCTTTCTATTCTAGGAATATTAAAAAATCTCCCTCGTTCTATCTCTAGTTGGTGAGAAGATAGACGATATTGACTGATATGTTGTACATATTTTTGTGATATTGATTTTGTTAAATATAATTGTAAATTAAAACTATCGCTTAAATACCTATACAAAATACACTTAGGGGAAGCTTCAAAATTACTTCGTGCTTCTTGTATGAACATGTCATCCAATCTTTGTTTCACCTCAAACAAAAAAAGTTTTTCATTTAGGTAGTCTTTACAGTTCCATATATAACCAAAGCCTAAAGTATCAACAAGATCTTTTATATGTGACAGCCAACAAGGAAAAGTATTTGATTCACACACATCTAACATTTCTTGGTATATATTTCTTAAAATGCAATTATCACTATTTTTTAACTTTAACCAATACTTCAGCATTCTAATTTTTCTGTTCCATTGTAATGGTTTCCGACCTAGTATTGTGTCCCATCGTACTATACTGTATATTGATCTAGTGGACTAGTTTAGATGCTCATAGAATCAGCCCCTAGTCACTTCATGTTTGCTTAAATCATTGAATGATTGAAGCTAGGACACACTTGTATCTTTGACCTTTAAATCTTGCCATTTGACTGCAAGACACTCATTTCAAAGAATGTTTATAGTTTTAGTCATCACTCTTGGTAGGGTTTATAAAATTTAAGGTTGTATAGTACCTGAATCATCATGACATTGACATATCAATCTGGACATTAGTCCTTTACCTTTGACTGATTGATACCTCTACTAGTGTCTTTTTTTTTATAATTACTAATGTAGTGAATATGAAATCTCTACACTGAAAATTGCTTGAGTTATCATGTCACATGGACATGCTGACTGGACTGTAAACAGCATGCAGGCACATAAAGTGATAACAATAGACAAACCATATTTTACAGGACCCTTACAGTCACAACAGTTCAGGTTTTAATAAAAATGTGTATGCTATTAGAGAAGCATGAATTGAAATTGCTAAAAATTCTACTGTGTGCCACTACTTATATTATAGTATCGTCAGCTCATTTATATTTTTTTTCCCTACTTATTTTGTCTTCTTTTATATATATATATATATATATATATATATATATATATATATATATATATATATATATATATATAAATCTCTTTAGAATATACACATGTATATATTTTTTCAATGTTATGTAATTAATATTTACTTGTAACATGTATGACTTGACCTGTATTGTGGAGAGGACTTATATAGGCAGTGCCTGCTGTCCAATCCAGTTATGTTTAATCATAATAAAATATTGTTTAAATTAATTATAGAATTGTCAATAGTACTTAAAATACTGTATGTGTACTTAAAAAAGCAGACTTCATATTTTAGCATCTTTGGCGCAGACAACGATAAGCTAATTCAAGAATACCACTAAAAATTACAAATGAATACAATGCATGGTGCAGAAATCTGTATACTAATTCATGGTTATATCAACCACTCTGTATCTCATCAATGCACTAAATTTTGAATACATTAATATATATGTATAGTACCTTCCATAGGAGTGTGAGGATCAGGTTTATTAGCAAACACAATATCAACATAGTCTAACTGTAGCCTGTCTAAGGAACCCTTCAGTCCTGTAAACAAACACACATCATGACATTAGAGTATAGTAGTATGCCATATACATGACCAAAAAAAAAATCAAAGAATTCTAGACTCTTTGGGTTGTTACACATTGTAATTAAAACCTACCTTCAATGATATGCTTCCTTGACAAACCTCGCTCTGTTTCTGCCCTAGCAAAAAAAGTGAAGAAAAAAAATTGATGAAGTCAGAAAAAAAAATTACAGGTTATCAATTTTAAAATCAAAGTACTGATAATACTGGTAGATCAAAAGAAATTGCTATGCAGTTTTGGCAACAATTAAAATCATTCACTGATCTTTGACAGTACATAACATCTGAATGAATTTCTATAAAATTTAACCCCAATTTTTTTTAAATACAGACAAGTTGGTATTGATGACTTCCAGGAAACCTTTATATAACTTTGGATATTTGGATCTTACTTTCCACCCCAATAGAGTTTGGTGGATATGATGTAACTTGATCTTCTCCATGCTTTTTTCTTCAGGATCTTTCCCAAGGTGATCTCTGCTCTGAAAAATAGTGTACAAAGATAACATATCAGGATTTCTACGTTATTATATTTCTTCTGTCTACATGTAATAAACATTTGAAGCTGAACCTGTTCTCACTACATTCGCATGATCTGCAACAATTTAAAAAAATGTTTGAACAAGTAATTAATCTTCACATTCTGCAAGATATATTTAATGAAAACAGTAATCACTTGTGTAAACATATAAAAAAAAAGAAGATATTTTATATATAAACTGCAATCAATATACAGCCTACATTTTTCTTGGGAGAAAAGCTTATAAATGATTAAAATAAAATAAATGTACAATTATTTTGGCCTCTTTCCTCATGCGCGGATCTAATGGGGGATCTAATGGGTGGAGGGAGGGGGTTAAATTTGTAAAGTAAGGAAAAGATTACCATGGACATATATATTTATGCTAAGGAAAGCAAATTGACCCCTACCCCCACTCCATCCCCCCCCCCTTCCCAAAGAAATAGGTTTATCAGGGTTCAGTGATTCATTTTGAAAATGGTTATGATGGGTCCAAAGGACCCCTTTTAATGACAACAATGAGTCCCGTGCCAAAATCAATGCGTCCAAATCCAAGAGTACCATATATTAGATGTTACAGAGGAAATTCTGGTGAAATAAAAAAGGGTATTGCACGAAAGTGCAAACGTTTTATTGTAGCTGTGGGTGATTTATACTTTCACTATCAATTGTCCAAGTAAGAGTACATGACTTTATGTCATAAAAATAATATATTGTCCACTGTGCACTTTGGTTCTATTTTCAGATCGTACATTGTACTATCAGTCATAAAATGCACAGAAGCAGAATGAAGTAAAAAAAAAAATTTAAGAAGAGATGACAAATAGTCAGAAATAGAAATGATTAAATTTTATACTTCTTAGCTTGTAAGAAAAAAACGAAAAAAAAAAACAATGATACAGGTTACAGCTTAAATACAAAGGTATAGTATTCACTTCAGAAACGTTCCACGGTATAGACATAATCAGTGATAATCGAACTATGCTATCTAACTCTCAAATATTTTCTGATAATTGCTTTTAACTGCAGTTGTGAAATCTGACCTGTTGTTGGCAACCTTATACCTGTTAAAATCGTTCATGCATATCGCTTAGCACGTGGATATGATGCAATCGGTCAAGTTTTGAATCAGATTATACCGAAATAATTTAAAGTAGTACATGTCCTTCTATAAATTTATTGCGTCCATTGGGATGCACATTTATTTAAATAATGCGTCCTGGGCAAAATTTGTGCTTAATTTACGCAGGACGCACACCAAAATGAATCACTGAGGGTTTGGACAAGTTGTTTACTTTTTTGAAGCTTGTCAAAAAAATTTGTCTTGGATTTTTTTCAATGGTTATGGACCCCTCCTGGAAAAAAAAAATCCTGTATCCACGCATGATACTTACTGTGTACAAGTAGAGTATACCAGTTTTAATTCCTTGAAAAAGACCGATACATATAATCATAGGTATTTCTATAAAAAACTAATTAAGCGCAATTACATCTTAAACAAAAAAAACTTTTATCATCCAGAACACTATTTCATAGTACATGTGTAATTTGTATCATTTAGTAATTTCTATTTGTAATAGCATGCTTAAGAAAAAATATCAATGTTAGAAATGGATAAAATGGTTTAATAGCAATAAATGTACTGGCATCATAGTCACGGGGCATGTCTCCTCACAGGCAAATAGCCACAGTTAGAAAACACACATGGTCCTGTGCAATAAAATAAATTAATCTATTCGTATTTCTAGAAAATGGCAGGAAGTTCTACTAAATATGATTTTTCAACTACAAATTCTAATGGACATTAGCCCATACCTATCACATACACTGTAATCTTATACAGAGCTCTCACTTCATGCATATTACAAGAGCTAACTCCTTGCATGCGTACACCTGGCCATGCATTACATTGTGTGGTGCAATTTTTTTTTTGGGTGATGACAGTAGGCAAAAATTGTTCCGAAGTGTTGAGCAGTGAATTTGACATTCTTACCCATCACTAGCTTCCTGCATAGCCTCGAAAGCAGAGGGTGGTAAATCTGGGTTGTCGTGTTTGCTATACAGACAACAAAGGTTTGAAATGTATATGATGTAAACACAGAAATGAAATTTAAGCGTCAATTTATCACTCAAGCCCCTGCCCTTGAGGCACCATTTAAAATTCAACCCTTGATCCTCAAGATGTCCTTTGTTGGGTTTATAGTGAAAGCTATGTTTAGCAACTTATAATACAAAAATAGGTCAACATAATACAGTTCACATAAAAAAATAAAAATACAAAGACAAAAATTCCTTTTTAGAGGCCAATTCCAATGCATATATTCTATTGAAGAAGTATGCACAACCTATGATAAAATGTACTTGTTGCACAAAATTAATATGTCTAATTTGATGAAAATCTACTTTGTACTTTAATTTGCAAGGAATGTATATCATTGGCTATGAATTTTTATATAACAATACTAACTGCATTCAAAATCTGTGGCCTTCCAACATTCAATATAATTGTTGTATACAAAACTAAAAATAGATAAATGCAGGTCTAAGGAGAACTCATTTAACACATGGGGAGTATACATACTAGGTTGATTCACTGAAAGAACTCAAATCCAGAGTTTTCTATAAATGGACTTACTTTCCTGCCGCATACACCTCAGCTGTGTCGAAAAAATTGATTCCACTTTCATATGCTAAAGTAAGTATTTCTTCTGCCACCTAAAAAATATAGAATTTATTTATTTCAGTTGTGATTTTAAAACACAAATCCAAGTAAAATCAATCATTACTCTACATTTATAGATGTATAAGTTATATAAGAATATTTGTTTGAGGTACACAATTCACTAGATACACATACTTGCAGCCCCAGTCATAACAAGAGATGTTTGTGACCCCCCCCCCCCCCCAAAAAAAATAATTTGAATTCTTCTAAGTCCAAGGGGCATAACTCTGTCAAAAATTGCTCGACCATACCCAAAACAATACTTGACCTAGATATTCTTATGATAAATCTGTATACCAAATTTCATTTCAGTATGTGCTATCTCTGCTAGGAAAATGTACAGAAACTGCAAATAATTGGAATTTTTCTAAGTCCAAGGAGCATAACTCTGTCAAAAATTGCTCGATGGTACCCAAAACGAAACTTGACCTAGATATTCTTATGATATATCTGTATCCCAAATTTCATTTCAGTATGTGCAACCTCTGTTAAGAAAATGAACGGAATCTTGGTGGACCCACAGACAGACCAACAGACCGACCGACCGACAGACAGCAGCTAAGCAATATGCCCTCCCTTCTTCGAAGGGGGGGCATAATTAAAACAGTCCCAAATTTAAAGATATGTACTGGTATGTTCAACACTCCAAATCCTTCATAGGTATATATTCCTTCCTCCTCTTATAATGATGTTCATGTAGATTACAGTCAAGTTGGCATCTGGCTCTGGGACCGTAAAACTTAGACAAGCTCACTTTTTGATCTCAGTCTCACTTTTACAAAGTAATTAAAAGTGGAAAAGTGAGACTGAGATCAATTTGAGCTCAACTCAGTTTTATGGCTCCAGAGCCAAGTAATGCAGAGTAAGGTTTGTCATAAGTACCCAGGCCCCTTCGGTGCAGGTGGGGTCAGAATAGGGATTCAACTTTTCCCATAAAATATCTTTGTCAGATCAGCAATGTCATGTTCAAATTTATCTTCAAGTATACTTATGTTGTTAAGATCTATATTTTGTTTCAGTTTTAACAGCTAGGAAGCAAAAGGAAGATTAGTGTAGAGTAGGTTTCAATGTTTTTAAATAGGAATATTAGACTTCTTTAAGAACAAGAGTTTGGTGGTCATACATATAATATAGTTATAATATGTATATAATTTTCAATTTATGCATTCTTTGGCTTAATTCAACACCTCAAGAAAGGGTTTCTTTCCAAATTCATTTGCCTGTAAAAGAGAGAGGAGCTAGGAAACACAGGTGAAAGTGGGTCCTTTAGGATTCTGTTAAACAAGTAAAAGTGAACATATTAGAGTAAGAGTACTTGTCAGGATCTATTCCTGACCTAAGCATGAAATTCAAAATACTTAATATGATTTTCTTCTTTATGAAGTTTTATGTTGATGTGGATTTTTGTGATAGTGGCTTTTACTGTACAGGAATTAATATTATGAGTTTGTTAAAAAAGAGCTTATTAAGAATTCTTTCAAAACTATGAATAAAGCTACTAGCTGCTTCTAGTACTTCATGAATAAATCAAAAGATTATTTTGAAATAATGTTGCACATGTACAATGACAATTTTATGGTATATCCTAAATACCAACACCATTATGAAAGATTCATGGTATCAATGGCTATATATCTGTCATGATATGTTAAAACCCTATAATAAAATGTATATGTAAAGTTTACACATAAAGACTTTATACTAAAACAAAGGATTCATGTTTTATTCACAGGTCTGAAAGAGCTTTATCATGCAGGACAAATACTGAAATTTTAATATCTATTTTCCAATATACAACAACAGCTCTGATCATTGAGATGCTGATATTAAGGAAGAAAGCCTATATATTACTTTAACATTTCGTAGATTGAAATTCAGCTCCCCACATTCTCTGCCCACGCACAGAAGAGTCCAGGACCCCATAAATCAAAGAACATGATGAAGAAAAATGAATGCTTTAACATTCTGGGCTAAATATATATGATTTTTTACGAGTAATCCATCACAATCCATCATCAGTTTAGTTTAGCTGCTTTAATACATTACTATACATTTATTATAAGGTGAAAATCTATACATCTCCACAAAGCCTTGTCAGCAAGTTCAGTATGGGTAATCAAATGTTTCCAATCAATACACACTACATAGAAGATTTCAGTCTTGTCTTGTCTGTTTTCTTATTGATTTGTGGCATCCTATGGACTTCAGATTTTCAGCTTTATATGAATTATAATTGTCACAAATTCTGACCCCTTTTAGTCATTACATTTGTTTTAGGTACATGTATACTGATTCTTCTTACTACATGTACATGGTCTTCGGAAATCAACACTCTGAAATATGATGGACTGAGTGTCTCAAACATTTAAAAGTTTTTAACAAATGTGTCTTGCTTTCTTTCTCCTTTTTTCTGTAATTTTTCAACCCATGATTCACTCCATAATCTACAGAATCAAACACTCATAAAACCCCTGGAAATCATAATAATCTTGAATCTTACAAAATAAAAGATAACTTCCATATTATTTATAATAGTAAATTACTGCATGTTCCAGAATCCTACATGCCTGTTAAATATTGAACTCTTGTGTGGCCTCATTAAAACTCACAGGGACCAAAGTTTGAAAATTTAATTTCCATGCACTTTTGGTATTCATATCATTTTGCCAATATGATTCTTAAATTGAGAAGAACTTAAGTATATACATCTTATTCAACATGTATGTATTTTTCATCTCTTTGGAAGGATCAAACCCTTCATTGCAATATGAATCTCTTTAACCAATGATACATAGTGAAACTAACCAAGTATAGTTTTGAGGAAGATATGAAAACAACAAGAGGCCAATGGGCCACATCGCTCACCTGAGTAACTTTGGCCATGCTGTTCTTTACCAGATTTCCCCCCTTGTAATACCTATTGTGGCTCCGCCCTACCCCCAGGGGTCATGATTTGAACAATTTAGAATCTACACTAACCCAGGATGTTTCCAAATAAGTTTCCGCTTTTCTGGTCCAGTGGTTCTTGAAAAAAAGATTTTAAAAGATTTTTCCTATATATTTCAATGTAAAACTTGGATTCCCTATTGTGGCCCCGCCCTACCCCTGGGGGTCATGATTTGAACAATGGATGCTTCCACTTAAGTTTCAGCTTTTCTGGCCCAGTGGTTCCTGAGAAGAAGATTTTAAAAGACTTTTCCTATATATTTCAATGTAAAACTTGGATTCCCTATTGTGGCTCCACCCTACCCCCAGGGGTCATGATTTGAATAATTTAGATTCTACACTACCCCAGGATGCTTCCATATAAGTTTCAGCTTTTCTGGCCCAGTGGTTCTTGAGAAGAAGATTTTAAAAGAATTTTCCTATATATTTCAATGTAAAACTTGGATTCCCTATTGTGGCCCCGCCCTACCCCTGGGGGTCATGATTTGAACAATTTAGATTCTACACTATCCCAGGATGCTTCCATGTAAGTTTCAGCTTCTCTGGCCCAGTGGTTCTTGAGAAGAAGATTTTTTAATGACCCCACCATATTTTTGTCTTTTCTTGATCATCTCCCCTTATAAGGGGACTTGGCCCTTTATTTTAACAATTTACACTCCCTTTCACCCAAGGATACTTTGTACCAAGTTTGGTTAAAATTGGCCCAGTGGTTCTTGAGAAGAAGTTGAAAATGTGAAAAGTTTACAGACGGATGGACAGACGGACGGACGGACGACGGACAACAGGTGATCAGAAAAACTCACTTGAGCTTTCAGCTCAGGTGAGCTAAAAAAATTATAGACTCACTGTACACAATACTACCTTGTGAGAATTAAAGTACCAAAATCATTACACACTGCTCATTTTGCTTTCACAATTAAGGATCAAATCCAATTTCTTCAACTTAAGCAGGAAAATACAAATACAGTCAAACCTCATTATCTTGAACTCAATGGGACTGAGAAAAAACTTTGAGATATCTGAGGATTCGAGATATCCAGGGTAAAATACTTGAATAATTGAGACTTGCAAATCACTTCGATATATCCATAGTATTTGAGATATCAGTGTTCAAGATATCGAAGTTCAACTGTACATTGCATAATTATATGCATTTCAAAACTCTACTAAAAGAATCTCTACATTTCAGCTCAATTTCAAGCATTAATATTTTTTAATACTACTTAACAATAAATCACATACATGTATATTCAGACATTCTTTCAAGTTTGTCTTATTCTAAAATACTTCTTCATACATTATGCATGTAGGTTTTACACCAGGGCCTCACAGCTCTATGGTATTAATTAATTGACATGAAATTGCTTTAAAGCAAGGACTGTTCCAGGCTCTGGATCAATAAAGTAAGCCTTAACACTGGCTAGTAGGAAAATTGGCTTAATGAAATTTCATTAGTGAGTTAGCTTGATCAAAATACAAATAGATATCAAGCTTCACACATAAGGAAAGTTTTCCCCAGGCAACTTCAGTCCAAAAACTTAGTTTTGAACATGTCAATAAAACAAGGCATTAATTAGTGTACTATGGGGCATTCCTATAACTACATGACAAAACATATTTGCTCAACATAGCTGCATAACAATTTCTTTATTTTTCCACAATAAAGTGAACAATTTCATACTGAATTTTTAAGTTTTTATTCCCTAGAATAATCCTATAAAGTCATATTATATACATTGTAAACATTACTAGAGAAATTTTTGATCTTAATATTCTATTGATTACATGAACATGTATTTGCAAATTCAGAACTTTGGATTAATTAGTTTATACAGAGCAAAGAAAAAGGAGAATGAATTAAGATTGCATCCCTATTTCAGAGCTGTAACAAGTAAACGACAGAGAGGCAGTTGGGAGTACAGTAAAACCTCGTTATCTTGAACTCAATGGAACCAAGAAAAAACTTTGAATAATATGATGATTCGAGATATCAAGTGTAAAATACTTAAAAAGAATAAGTGGTTGGAACTTCCAAACCATTCAATATATCCATGGTATTCAAGATACATGTATCAGTGTTTGAGATACCAACGATCAACTGTATTTATAATTGCACAATTTAGTGTAAAAATCTAGTCCTGCAGTTTTAGGGGAAATTATGATTATCCATATTTCAATTTTTTTAGTATATCCCTTTTGGAGTTGCATGACACACACATAGCTTTTCCTTTGAATATAGTTTAACTTGCTTTGCCAAAACAAGAGGCCCATGAACCACAACCCTCACATGAGTCACCTTGCCCTGCTGTCCTTTAGAACCAAATATTTTGATTATCTTTCCTTGAAAAAAGGCCTGACCCATCATTTGTATGGTAAACACTTGAAACCCCTTCACCCAAGGATGCTTTGAGGTAAGTTTAACTGAAATGGCCTCATGGTTTTGAAGAAGTTAAAAATGTGCAAAGTATACAGACAATTAACTCACAACACATGAAAGATAATAAAAGACACACAAAAGAGGGACAGATGGATGCTGGACTCACAATTGACATTTTGAGCCTTTGGCTAAGGTGAGCTAAAAAGCTTTGTCTTAAGTATGACCGAAATTCATCAAGTGGTTCTGGTGAATTTTGTTAAATATATGAAGCCATTGGCAAACAACAGAACAGTTCAAGATTTGGTCAGATATGCTTATTTTAGCCTCTAACCCATTTTAGCTAAAAAAAGAAAATATCTTTATAATAAGATGTAAAACTTTACATATTTATGTAACCTAACAGCAAAGTTTATTTATGCCCAAATGTCTATTCTAATGAATGGAATAAGAAATACACTGCAAACTATTGACAACAGGGATGAACAATTAATATACTCCTGTCACAAGCCCCCACATAATAAAATAAAGTTTCACCTCATCTGTAACTTGTCCACCAAATGTCACCCACGTTCCTGTAAAGAAAAGTAAAATAAATCACTAATGGGAATTCAAGTCCCTTCAGAAACTGGCAAAATGTCACTCTTCATATCAGTTTTTCTAAAACAATTGTCAAACCCTATCAAAACTATACTCTGTATTACAATTCTTAGATTTATTAAAATGTACATGTATACTGTTATATAATTTTTCCGAGACTCTATATTAGTTTGATGCAATGCTTCAATATATTTTAAAATCAAGCTATTTTTTTTAAGGGATGCAAAGTTTATTGTAAACTTCAGAACCTTATGCTTGACACCTCTAAAAGAATTTGAACCATGTAAAACCCCTTCCCTCAACTTACATTCTTCAAAAGTATCAGAAAATGCTTCTAAATACCTAGAATTAAATTTGATGTACTTTAACTAGAATCCAACAAATAGCATCAACAAAATGCTTAGGAATTTAATCATATCAGATTCTTAGGAGGCTCTAATGCCACCTTAATTTCTTTTTCTCTCAATCTTAGAACTGGAAACTGAACTTCTGGGAGATATTCAGAGAAGTATCAGCACTTATCTTTTCACTAATGACCTAAAAAATTGTTTGCTATTCTTTGAGAATTTGGCATAGTGAATTATAAATACACCTCCTTAATGACAAATGGAAGAGGTCTAAAAATAGATTTGTTCTGATATTTTCCAGAATGGAATCAGGTATTTGCAAACATCATTATTGCAAAAAGAAAAAAAAATAACCTTAAATAATGTTCCATGGTAAAACAACTTTTGAAACAATTAAGTCAATGGTTCACAGAATTCAGAATGTGATGCCTTTCTCACACCTGTATTTAGCTTGGGTTATTGACTGTAATTAGCATAATATGTTACAAAAAAATTAATTCTGAGACAGTTCATTACTAGCACAACATGACATCCCATCATTCAATAGGATGTTATAGAAAATCAGAGAATGGTCAAAGATTTTTTTTTTTAACATGAACTGAAATGCAGAATGTTATATAGAAAGCTTGAACAGTTTTCACTTCATGGGGATATAAGCATGCATGGAAGCACTAAACATTAGCTAACAGACAAAATTAGTTTGTGAACAAATGTATTACACTCTACTCTAAAACACCTTGGCATTTAGCTGTGCTGTGAAGAAAGAAACCAGCTGTTTCAGGAAAAAAGCTAACAAGAATTTTTTATAAGAATCTGAGTAATTACTTATGACATAAATGAACATTGTAAATGGTGTGACATCAGTGAAAAACATACAATAAACACTAATGATTCTCCAGTGTTCAGCTAAGAGATTGGTATCTGTGTCCTATCTCCAAACAATGTCAATAAAATGCAAGTATATGTGAATTATATCTTGATTTGGTAATATACTGCTCTACTAGATCAAACGAAATGGCTCAGTGCTGAAGCCAATTCTCAGTAAAAATAGATGCAATACACACTGATGCAATCTTTCTGAGTTGTAGTATTTTCTATCATTTTTACTCTGGCCACCTAACTTAAGTTCAACTTACTCTGGCCACCTAACTTAAGTTCAACTTACTCTGCCCCAATAACTAGTTTAACCTACTCTGCCCACCTAACTAAGTTCAACTTACCGGTACTAATACTCTGACCACCTAATTAGTTCAACTTTACTCTGGCTACTAACTAGTTCAACAGAAATTTTAGGTAATATGGGTAACATTCTCCAGATTCCTGAACTAGATGTCCTGAATCATGCTAAACAACACACAAGTCCTTAATCATGAATTATACAATTCCTCTTTGGCAAAAACTTACCCTTTATAACATATCATATTCATGTTGAGTTGAATAATTATAAATTTGTTATTTGAAGTTTACATCAAAATCTTACTTCATTCATTATATATCTTTTTAATTGCATGCTGGTTCAATAGTTGTCAGCTTTCAGAAAGCTTAATGCATTATTTAGATGTCTTGGTATTTAGCATTGGCATTTTTAGAGAGGGTGAGGAGATCACTAAAATTGAGAATCGCTAACAATTAGTTCTGCATTTGGAGGTTATTGAAATCTTTTTAGGCATCACAAAATAACTTAATTATTTCTTACTAAAATTAAATATTAAATTTTAAGGACAAATTGCTAAAAATTCCATTTATAAATGGTAGATATGCCATACTGTTGATCACAATACTGTTACATGTCAAACAGTTAATCATACATGCATAATCATACAATATCACTCCTATAAGTTGATTAAAATTTTATACTGCTTATCACACATTTAATATCATTGCTATAATAAGACTAAATATGTTGATCAGATATGATTCTGTTATTCAAATTCAACTGCAGCCTTGGTGGAAGTTTTGGCCATAAAAGATACCCACTTCAAAATGATCTCAAATATTTTGGTGCACAAAACTGCTTACTTAATTTATTAGTGTTCTTACTGAAAATCAACAACAGGTAGATAACAGATAAAATATATTATATTTTTAAATATTTACATTTGCTGTGTTTTTCTACTAAGCCAAAAATTGATTTGAAAGTCATTTATGTGTATACTCACATGTAGAAATATACACGGTGAAACTCGCGCTAAAGTGACGTCACAATGAGGCTACAGAGACGTAAATAAAAATGTAACGATATAGGGCAGCAAGAAATTCAAATATTGAGTATATTATTGGTGCTTTTAAACTTAATTGTAAAATGCAAATATAAGGAATGTTTTTAAGTTTTGTGTGAATTATTGGTGTGTTAATCACACAGACTTGCACGTAGGCATATTTTTCATGAAGCGCTAGCGCAATTCTGACATGAAATATGCCTACTTGACAAGTCTGTGTGATTTACACACCAATAACTCACACAAAACTTAAAAACATTCCTTAAATATATTTTGTTTCATTTTTTTTTCAAAATGTACATTTTCATACCGGTATCTTAAATGAACAATCTGCATACTATACATGCACCATTGATAAGATGCTTATTAAATTATAAAAACTTAAAAAAAAAAAAAATAAAAACTGATATTAATCTTATAAATTTATTTAAGAGCACAAATCATCTGATGCTATAAATTGCCACACTGTAAGGACTTGCAGAGGCCACTTAAGAAACACTTAAAAGTGAAGAGCAGGGTGAAATCTGGAAATAAGCCACTATGCAATGAAGAATTCCTCTGGAAATAATTAAACCACTATGTTCAGTCTTATCTTATAGCAATCAAATTGAGTATGTAAAGCTTATAAATTTGTATATATCATTGATAGTTACCATTCCTCAGTTCTCTTCCAGAGTACATTATTAATTAAAATATTTTCTTGAGCAGTAACAATTCCGAAGAAGCTATACCTCTCTCAAATGCAGTGCAAGGACATGTATGTAGTCTAACATTCTGACGGTTTTTGTGAGTGAGGTAATACAGAAAGTAGAACACAGATGGACAAGTGCAGAAAACAAAATTAAATTAGAAAAGTAAATTTAATAATTAAATAAATTGTGCTAACTTTATCAGTCATCAGATTTTTTTTTTTTTTTTTCCGATGTCTTAGTTTTTTTTAAAATCATTTTAAAATTCAAAGAAACAGCTTTGAGAAGAAATCACTAAATATTTGCCAAATAAATTTGAGAAAACAATGTTTTTTTTCTTAACATGTAGGATTGATGACCACCAAAGATCAGTTGATGTTTATAAAACCAACATCAAAGCATACCAAGCAAGAAAGCTTTATAGAGGAAGTTCTTAAACTAGGCAGTTCAGAGACATAGTGAAATAAAATATAAACAAGGCACCAGTCAGATTCAAAACAGATGTTCTAACCTGGATATAGAATCTTCTATATTTCATTTCACTCTCAAAAGTAACACATTCTTAGAAATTACGTTTTGAGGTATCATATTCATTATATCCGACATTACATATATAAAAAAAAAAATTCTAATCAATGATAGCAAAATTTGTTTTCTCTCTAGCTCTCTAGATTATTTTTCATTTATATCTGATTTGTTTTGGTTTTTGTTTGTTTGTTTGTTTTTTTATTTATTTATTTTATTTTTTTTTTGGGGGGGGGGGGGGGGTGCCTAATTAAATTAACAGAATTGATTGTTACCCTCCATTTACTGCATCTGAGGTTAGAGGGTATCTTAATGCAACACTAAAGTAATATAACACTATTCTGTCAATCATGCTCTTAGTGTGTGCAAGTTTCCACATGTGCAACATTATACTCTATCGAATGCACATGTACATGGATGCATGTGTACATGCATGTGTAATACTACTCTGTCCTGTCAAAAAAAGCTCTATTTTGCCTGGGACTCCTTTTCAACAAGACCATGCACTACTATCTGAGCTTGTGGGATTGGGGAATTTAAAGAATTGACATTGAAACTGAAGTATGATATATGATAGGGTTGAAACCATAGACTCACTTCAACATATCCCCGATATTTGACCTATTGGTGTTGCAGATACTGAAGTTCAACTGCGTTACAAGTAAATGTATACGAGATTTGTATGTATGACATCATCGTGACATAAAGAGTATGTATATAGGGATTGAGATTTGTTATAAGAAATGCGGCACTAATACATGTAAGTACTTTGGCAGCTGACGGTAAGTTACACAAACATGTACCTTGGCACCTGGTCAGGTGTTCTTTGGCACCTACCTGAGTGTCTTGGAGTTTTTGAGAACCACTACAAAGATAGGTGATAATAAACACTCACCCAGTCCTAGAGATGATACACGCAGTCCAGACTTCCCCAAGTTTCTAAAAATATAAAGGAGATGGGTGAACATGACGAGCGATAAGCCTAAAGTGTGACAAACATGAAGATGAAAAATTAAATTTCAATTATATCAAAATTTTCCTTGATATTTCGTCTAACATTAAAATATACTTTATGTAAAATCTCTACAATTTGCAAATATCCCTCAAAGATTGAAATTATTTGCCTGTGAAATATTAGACACGCACTAAAGCGGGCAAAAAGAGTCATTTTCTCATACTATAACACTATTTTTCGATATGAGTGGGTCTTCGCTCCACCTTTTTGAAAGTTAATCCTCAAAGTCTGCATAAAAATATACATTTTTTGGTTATCAAAAATATGGAGCAATGACCCACTATACCTTAAAAATATACTATTATGACATAACATTCGCATCTTTTCAAGAAATACTTGAAGTCCATTAAGTCAAGGGTCATATCACAAACATGATTTAAATGCCACTGTTCGTCAGGGCCTGTGTAGTCTAGTGGTTAGCGTGCTAGTCTCGAAAGAAAATGATACTCAGGATTTTTATTGCTAGGGTTCGAACCCCACGAATACCACATTAATTTTTTTAATAAACGAATAAATTTTGTAGAGAAAATTTTCCTCAGAAAAGGTTTGTTTATCACAATTTCATAAATTTCAATAATGAGAACTTTACTCTAAATATTAAATTCACAAACTGAACATGATTTTTTTATTTCTGAAGCTATAGGCTTTCTGCACGCTATGTTCGCCCATCTCCTTTGTTATATAAAAAGATGCGGAGATTTGTTTTTACTTTTCTTTTTCTCTTTTTGCAATGTTCAAGAAGAAAGTCTTGATATTATTTGAATAAAATCAGAAGATGCTCACAACTTGTACTTGCAAATTATTAAGAATTAATAAGTAAGCTTGTAAAGCTAAATTTTATAAATTCTTTTAATTTTTACAAAATCATCAAATATCTGACATTACCTGTATATAAAGTTTATTCAAAGCATTACCAAGTTAAGTCAAAGCATTACCTGTACGTCACAAGTGAGCTGGAGCTTGAACTGCTCATTTTTCGACTGCTCATGCTCACAATGGGAGCTTCCAACGCATGGAGTGGGGCAGAAATGGCAAATGCCCTACTACACTGAAATTAAAATTGAAGTTAATGAAAAACATTTTATGTAGAAAAAGAAGGGGATTTATAAATCTCGATTATAATTTCATTATATCAGAATATTTAACTTCCTGGTAATACAAATTGTGGAATAATACTGGAAATTTGGCAAGAAAAAAAATAATAGAAAAAAAATCAAAATTGATGCAGCAGTCACCAAACATGAGTTATGCATATTGTTTAACCAATAAAAGAAAAAAAAACCCAATCAATCAAAAAAAATCTTTATTCATTTAACTACCTTAAAAATAGCATTACTTACCATTTATAATCTACAGTAGATATCAATATCACAACTATCAAAGACTTCTACGTAATCTTCAAAGCAATATCTTATCACTTGCTTCAAAATCATATTTTATCAATATCAAATCCAATCCATGTTCAATTTAACACCATTAAGCCCCAAGAAAAATACACCAGCTGCAAATCAATGCGAAATATTTCCTCAGAAATAAAATTCCGTCATTCGACAAATCTAAGGCCGAAGGAATATGAGAAAGAAGAGGAAAATCTTTTGATTAACACATATTGAAGTCGCTGCCAAAGAGATGCCAATATTTGTCTGTGTTGTGATTGGTATAAATCAGGCCAATGATAGATAGACAGCAGCTGAATCCCACCGAAATAAACACTAATTCTAAATCCAGCTCTCCCTTGTGAAAGTTACAAACAGTTGATCCTCCTATTCTTAGAAATGGTTTTTTGTTTACCCCTACAGATGTCGAGGTAGCGATTCACTGGTTCACTCGGTAAGGAAAACCTTAAATTAGCAACAGACAATACTGCTGGGTAATTATAGATAGGATTAACAAGTAGTTGGGTAATCACTGTACTGATTGTAACAGATTAACTGCTTCCAAACCAAACAGGCTCCCAAATTACCAATCAATACAAAATCTCTATTGATAAAAACATAGGAGAAGTCATCCATTTGGCAACTTAATAACTGTTCCATTACTAAGAGAAAAACAAAGTTAAACTTTGAGAATCCTTTTCTCACAGAAACTTTGAACACATTTCAGAAGCAATTATCAATGAAGATTTTCCTTTTCTAAATACTGGGAAAAACACCGTTTGTACATGTTAACTGGCATTGACCTAGCTTCACTGAATTAGCCTTTGCTAATTATGTTATAGTTAAATTTACCAGAGTGAGTAGATTTGGAAATTGAAAATAATCAGAAATTCACCATATCGTTAATGTTGATTGGCATTGACCTTAATATTCATTGAAATATGTGGCCTTCTATCACTTCTTTGTGATAGTTTGCCAGTAGATATCAAAAATGAAAATCATTAGAAAATCACTATTGGTGATTAAATGACTGATGAAAATGATCACCATTTTACTGGGAAATATAATCAAACTGCTATAAAATCCTTATTGCATCTGTTTATTTCTGATAGGCAACTTCTGACTTAATCTATAGATGAAACAAACCAACATTATTAAAGTTTACCTACACCAAACAGATACATTATAGTTTCTTATAAAAAAAATAGCAATGTCCAATTGTAGCCATGGCAACCAAAGCGAACATTATATTGTCACATCATGATCATGTAAAGTTACTAATTCTAATATTTTTAATACTCTTTTAAAAAAAATTACTTCAAATTCATGTTTACTATCCACATGAATATAAACTCAGAAAAATTTCTGCAATTTAATGCAAATATACTCAATACTTGTGCATGCCTAACAGTTTCTACATAAGGGTAAATGCTACACTCAGCAACACTAAAACACCTATAATGAATGATAAGTCTCTGGTTAAAATTTCAATCTGTTTTTCATAGTTTGCTCACAGAAAAATTTACAGTAACCTGGTGGCACATCAATTACAGAAGCAGCCTTTAAGTATTGGTTAGCCATCAGGGATATGGCTGTTTTGGCAGCTCTTTAACAATAAAAGATTACTCACAGAATTCTTCCGGTGAAAACAAATTAAATATGACAGCATAAAAAGTATGGATTTCTATCATAGAGTAGGAACCTTTAATGAATACACAGATCCACAGTCTTCTTTGATGTTTCTCTTCCAAAACTATCATCAATCAAATGTATTTATTTACATGTTTAAGACCTAAGTCAAAGGAGCATATTGTACCTAATCATTTACTAGTGGAGATCATAGTGCTCATTACTAAGAGTAGGTAATTACTCCAGGGAATCTGCCAATATTGTTTAGTATACTTCATCTGACTTGCGTCAATATTGACCTTGACATGGACAAGAAAGATACATGTACTTCTGGGACTTTCTTGGAAGCAATAGTTTAGGCTCAAAATACCCCCTTTTATCTTTTTTTCTTGTGCTTTTAATCATGTTAGACATGTACAAAATGAAAATATACTGCATGAAGATTAAAATATTTGAGTGGGTTTATCAGGAGAATTTTAATAAATTTCCTTCCTATCAATCCTTTGACAGAATGCAAATGCACTTTATAATACAGCTTCAAATTCCACTCTGCTTTAAAGCAATATTTTATCAGTTGTATATCAAATTAGTTTTATCCTGGTTTGCAAATTGAAGTTCAATAAACCTACAGTTTTTTCACTACTGAATACACCTGCAATGATTGAAGTCAATAGATCGTTTGTCTAATTTTCTCTTCACATACAAAGTATGAACTTATTTCACAAGCAAAACCAAAAACATCAAAAACAGAATAATATTTATACAATTTACATCTTTCCAAATTCTGTGATATGATTGGCAAGTGATATAAAGATGGCCTCAAATATGCCTGATTTACATTTAAGATACATGTATAAGCAAACTAACAAGCATGAATGCCTACAAGATTGTCTTGTACCTCTGCATCAGACATGACAGCTGCAATTTGTTCGCTGCTCGCTAGTGATAGTATTATGATTTTAGGTAATCTTTACAGGATTATATTAGACGTTTTGGTGCCATATACATGATAGTCTGAAATGAAAGGTGGCCGAACTAATGTATAACAGTTTTCCCTACAATGAAAATAATATTTTACACGTAAAGAGCAAACTATAACTGAATTGAAAGCATGTTGCTAAATTCAAACCCCATTCTAAGACTATTACATACAACCTTTAAACTTGATTATACATGTAAATGTATTTGATTTAAACCACATCCATTTCCCCTCTATTAAATTTCTGCTGTGTAAAACTAAGTTTTTAATTTTTGCTTAGGCCTCTGAAATCATCATATGCTGATATAGTAAATGAAATATACTTTCAATTTTTTTTTCCTACAATAATTTTCAGTTTTTACATCAGCCAACTGGCATAAAGCTAGTAGGTTAAATTTCAAGGTCAAAGTAATGAAGTCAAAAATCATAGTATATTTGGAAATGTCTTGTCACAGGCAATTCACATGTGAAATATGAAAGCCCTATTTCTTCTCATTCAAAAGTTATGAGCAAGGTAAATGTAATGTAAAATTTTTTTGAAAAGTAGGTCAAACTTCAAGGTCATGAGGTCAAAAATCTTAGTATATTTGGAAAGGTCTTGTCACTGGTAATGTACATGTGAAATATGAAAGGCCTATCTTTTCTCATTCAAAAGTTATGAACCAAGGTTAAATTTTGGTACAGTAGACTGACAGATGGACAGACTGAGAGATGAATGAGATTTAATGTCCCTTCACTCCCAGTTTCTTCTGGAGGAAAATTTATGACCAAATTTAAAATTTAAGATAAGTTATAAGGTCAAACTTCTAGGTGAAGATCATGAAGTTGGAAATTATAGTTCTTTCTGAAATGTGTTAAATTGTCACAGGTACTCAGTAATATACAGGAAAAAAGATGAAAGCCCAATGTTCTCTCATTCAAAAGTTACTATCAATGTTAAAAATTCTGAAAAGTTCTGAAGGCTAAACTTGAAGTTAAGGTCACAAGGTCAAAAACCAAGGTATATTTGGAAAGATCTTGTAACAGCTTATGCACATATTTAACATGAAGGCCCTATCTACTCTCATTCAAAACTTATCACCAATGTCAAATATTTGAAAAGTAGGTCAAACTTCAACAGCAAAGGCACAGGGTCAAAAATCATAGTATATTTGGAAAGGTCTTGTCACACGCAATGTACATGTGAAATATGAAAGCCCTATTTCTTCTCATTCAAAAGTTATGAGCAAGGTAAATGTAATGTTAAAATTTTTTGAAAAGTATGTCAAACTTCAAGGTCATGGGGTCAATAATCATAGTGTATTTAGAAAGGTCTTGTCCCAAGTAATGATATGTCAAATATGAACACCATATCTTTTCTCATTCAAAAATTATGGCCAAGGTTAAAGTTTTTGTGACAAACAGTCAAACAGATTGAGGGACAAATGAGATTTAATGTCCCCACACTTTTGTGAAAGCAGAGGTCAATAACAAGACCAGATTTAGCAAATATGAGCATGAGCTGGATTAAGCAATATATCTTAATATCTGGATTGGATTGAAATAGGAAATATTTATTATATTACTGAGGGAGTTACCAGGACTTCTGTTCCATAGATCTGTTCTATTGACTTGAGGCCTAAGGAAATTGTTCTACTTTCGGAGAACTAGAGCAAGGCTTAATATTAACTTTTTAAAAAAATATCCACTTGTCCATCAGACAAGTTGCCAATAAATGTAACTTTTCTGAATGCCTTTTTTACTTGTCTGACTCAGGACAGTCAAGAGAATAAAAATTGTTTATTTTTATTTTTTTACTTTTCTAATGTGTTATCAATCTATTCTTCTTTAAATTTGTATTTATAGAAAAAAAATTATGATTTGCACACTTTTATAACTTGCTGAGCTACCTGATGGTTTACATGTACTTGTTCTATCCCCATAACCCTCGCAATACATTCAGATTTCCAACTTTCCTGTATAACAATCTTGATTGAATTTTTTACCATTGCCAAAATAACCATTGTTTTTATACATTGTAACTTAAACTTTGATACGTTCTGATGTCTTGATTATGGGACATTACCTGAGAGATGATTTTTGGTAGGTTTCATTCACATGCATTCAGTCTTTTAAGAATGAACATATGGTATGTGTATCTGAAGGACAATATCATTTTAACGATAGAAAATGCTCTCTAGTATTTTTTTTTTTCAAATTCAAACCATTCCTTAATGCTTAAAAAAGTACATGTAACTTGTCCAATCAGACAAATGTTTGTGGATATTGACTTATTGGAAGACAAAATGAACTGAACACGGACAATAAAACAAATCTTAATGTTGGGCCCTGATTAGAGTCTTCTAAATCTTTAAAACTCTCTTGAAGATATACTTTACCTGTAGGTACATATTATAATGTATATAGTACCAATTTATAAATAGAGGAATACATGCACATACGTGTATTTTTTTGTAATACACATCTCCAGGCATATACATGTGATAAGACATTAATGCATTTAATCTCTCTTTATACGTTAAGTACTGGAAAAATTTATGACTCAATTTCTCAATGATAATTCATAATGGGGACATTTTTAAAGTGCAGTGCTGGATTATTGAACTGTGCACAATAATAGAACTGACCATTAAAAAACTACCCAGCTGTCTCCTACCTTTGCTGCAATTTATAATAATCCTTGTGTCTAGACCTGAAGCTAGGCACTGTTTTACTGTTATACAATATCAAAATGGCATCAATATATCTACTCACTACCTAGCTCAGGTATACTGACAATATAAAGGGAATAGGCTGAAACATGACTCAGGCCT